TGAGGAATAAGGGATATGTACTATGAGAAATGGGGTTTCATGCTAATCTTCTGGAACCTTGCCGGAGTGCCTCTGAGCTATTGCCACTGTACCATCTACCTTGCCAACCACGATCCCGCTACCTATCGTTGGAACCGGCCTTTCCTGATTTTCCTCTACGTCGCGTACCTCTTTGTGTACTGGGTCTGGGATACGACCAACAGCCAGAAGAACCGCTACCGCCAGCAGGAGCGTGGTACTTTGGTGTTTCGCAAGACTTTCCCTCAACTCCCTTGGCAAACACTGAAAAACCCCAAGACCATCACAGCTGAGGACGGTTCGAAGATCCTCGTTGATGGGTGGTGTAAGTCTCGTAGCGGAACCCCGACCTGAGTTTCAATCCATGCTGACCTTTCACAGACGGGAAGGCGCGCAAGATCCACTACACCTGCGACCTGTATTTCGCATTGAACTGGGGCTTGATCACCGGCTTCAACAGCCCTTTCCCATGGTTTTACCCCGTCTTCTTTGCATGTATGATCAGCCATCGCGCACTGCGCGATATTCAACGCTGTCGGAACAAGTATGGCGAGGCGTGGAGAGAGTATGAGAGACAGGTTCCCTACCTGTTCATTCCTGTAAGTTTGCCTTTTCAGATCTCTCTCTTTTACATGGAACATCAACTTATCAGGCGAATTAGTACGTCTTCTAAATGACTTCATGCGCTGGAAATCTCCATCGGTACATGGACCATCTCTTTGCAAGGCCGACCTGCGCCGACAAAGATGATCTTGTCAACTCTTCGACCTTGGCTCTTCTTGTGAGCTCTATAAATACACTCTTGTAATCATCATTCCCGGCCTAATCCTGGAAACTCCACTTTGTCACTGGCTGCTACCCAGCGTGGCAAATCAGATTCCTGATGGGCTTGCCGTTTAGGCTCTATCTTTCTGGCTTGTGTTATTTCTACTTCCATGAAAATTATATAATTCCTGTACATTATTAGAATGTTTGTTCTTGGTTGTTTCCGCTTTTGCCATTTTATGATCATCTATGTGGCTTACGGCCTTCTTCGAGCTATTCACCTGTGTTTTTTCAAGATACCAATGTACATTCTAGTGCATTCTAAGCCACCTTAACATGACTGACCGGTGCACATATGCACTGTAGCACTAATCTTGAAATTGGACTGATAGTATGCGGATCACATGACCCTACCCCTCCCCTCCAGGCTTATCGGTCGGCGATCAGTCCGGAGCTGCAACCCCGCCGAGCTAGCTATTTATTCAGCTGCTGGAGTCTTGCTCGCACGAAGATTGAACTCGATCAGAAGGCAATTGACATCCCATTTCGAGTATCTGCAACCACTCTTTCATCATGTTGATTCAAGAATCCTACCACGATGTGCCTACCACGGCGGACGGCAGTGGGACCATGCGTATGTTATAGAACTCGCGCAATCAACGTTGATATTCGGCTTTCACCGATTGGAAGGAGCTTTTCCATAATATCGAACCTGAAAACTGAGGGCGCGGATGCTAACATGTACCCTGTCAGGTATTTACGTCTATCATCCCACCATTCCAGGATATCCCAAAGCACGGTTCCCGGGCGTGGTAGTATTCAGTGAGATCTATCAAGGTATAATCCCCCCACTTCATCGAACCCACTGCAGCTCAGAGCAACATCACCTACCGTTGAGCTGATCTCTTGCTCCACTGTATTTGAGCCCAACCCGTTGACATGAGTTCTTAAAATTAGTTACCGGCCCCGTGGCGCGCTTCGCCCGTCAGATCGCCGGTCAGGGCTATATCTGCGCCGCCCCCTCTAGCTACCACGAATTCACCGGTCCAGAAGCCCTTGAGTATAATGCCGAGGATACCGACAAGGGCAATGAGTGGAAGATCAGCAAGGTAACAGCAGTCTTGACATAGGATTGAGAGATTGTGCGCATGCTAAAACCCGGCGACCGCAGAAAATCGCTGCCTACGACGAAGACGCCTCTCTCTGTGTGGACTACCTCCTGTCACTGCCCACTTGCAACGGACGTGTGGGCGCAACAGGTATGTGCCTGGGTGGCCATCTGGCATATCGGTGTGCGCTGGATAGCCGGGTGAAGGCGGCAGTGTGCTATTTTGCAACCGACATCCATAGCCACACGCTTGGGAAGGGGAAGAGTGATGACAGTTTGGCTCGCGCCGGAGATATCAAGGGAGAGTTGACTATGGTGAGTTCTTGTCTTCCTTCGAGTCTTTGAGGAGGAAGGGGGGGGAGTGAGTACAAGCATAGTCACTGACGTTGATGCAGATTTTCGGTAAAAACGACAATCATGTCCCTCCGGAGGGAAGGGACCTGATCCGCAAGACACTTCATGAGAAGGGGGTCTTGTTTAGCTTTTATGAGGTGGCCTGGGCGCAGCGTAAGTTTTACCTCCATCCCCCCTATCATGGTTTCTAGGTTTGGTGCCGAAGGGTGTTGCCAACGCTAATGTCAACAGATGCTTTCATCCGGGACGAACTCAGCAAGGGACGTTATGACCCTGCTATTACCAAGGTGTGCTTTGAGATGTTGCTCGAGTTGTTTGGACGGACTCTCAAGCTGGATTTGGGGGAGCATGATGGGAAGGAGTTGGAAATTGAGGATGTTTGCTAGTGGGCGCGATTCTTCAAAACGAACAGTTGCGTTGGCGTCAATTACATAAAGGCTCCAGCACCACGCCTCCTGCCGTAGTATAAACATCTAGCACCGCTGGGGTGAGTTGTTATGCAGTGTACTGCTCAACCTACTTTCACTCTATTTGAGACGTAGAAAATCATCTGTCTGTACTTCTGACAGGTAATTTGCTCTTACTTTGCAGCTTTGATTATCAAGTAAGGTCCTGAAAACATCTAGTGGTGTCTACGCAAGGGAGCGCAGGAGCCTGGGGAACCCGAGCCAACTGACGATCGGCCTATGGGAGACAGCCCCGAACAACCACGAGTTCGTGCCGTCGCTGTGGAAGTGTGGATTGTCCGTCGGCGAGGATGCATGAACAAATGTATGTAATCAATGAGAGATGCATGATTGGGGTCGATTCATCTGAGACATTGAGTTAAGGAAGGGAGCTCGGGTAGCTCTGTCGATCGTCATGATCGTGAACATTATCAGTTAGCCTAGGTTGGTAATGATGATGGAGTACCTACTCATCAAATTGTGGCTGGGGCGGGATGGCGGTGAAATCATCCCGACGTGCCATGCTCCATGCCATGCCATGCCATGCCATACCATCAACATTTGCCAGCACTTCCACTCCGTCCTCCGCCCGTACTAAGAAGAAAATAGCAAAAGAATGCTGCCTGTCAACGCTAATCGGGCTATTGCCAGAAATCTGGCCAGCGTCATCATTCTTCATGAGGGGAAAGCTGGGACTAAAATAGAAGTGGGATTGGGGGGAGCCGTGGGTATTGCCCTCGTCATCCATGGTCAGCCTAGGGCGACCCTCTCTTTGTTTTTTTTTTGTTTTTTTTTATCCACTTTTTGATATCAACCAAGTGAGCCACCCGATTGTTTTTGATGGAATCAAACCACAAAGAAGGAAGAGAAATAGAGGGAAAGGGGCAAAAATCCGAAAGCAATTCTCTTGATTATTCATATGGTAGCAAAATCTTGAGTCCTCATCCGCCGGAGGCTATTTTCTGGGGAAGCTGGACGGACTGCAGTAACAACAGTAGCAACAATTCATGTTTTAGTGAGGTTTTGGTTCCTGGATTTGCTGCAGGGTTTTCTCCTCTCCTCTTGTTGGTCAATTCTCATTTAGTCCTTGTTCTTTGCCCCCTCCACATCCCCCAACGGTGGTTCTTCCGGCCGGATTCTGGACTGTCTTTTCCACTCAGGGCTGACCATTCGTTGTTATTTGCTGGATGCCGTATTGTGAGTCTCTCCATCACGCTTTTAGCCCCGGGCTAAACCCAGAATCCCGTTCCTCGCTCTAATCTCTCTAATCCTCTCTCGACTCTCGAGTCTAGCCTACTCATAGTTTAGTCTAGTCTAGTCTCTCGTCTTCCATGTCTCGTCTGTTTCCCTGGATCATGGACATGGACAATTGATTGACTGGTTGCTTGATTGATCACGACAAAGTACGAAGGTGCTGTCTGTACCTAACCTACCTTCCTACCTACCTACCTACCTACCTACCTCACTATCACTAGTTACACCTCTTGCGGCCTTGCCTTCGTTCTCACCTTTCTCCCTCTCTCTCTCTCCCTCTCTCCCTCGTTGTCTCTCTCTCCCTGTCTATCCCCTCATCACCATCATCTTCATCGTCCTTCTTCTTAGCCGCCGCCGCATTTCTCCTCTACATACGGACAACGATTCTCCTTCTCTCGCTCGTCCTCGTCAGCATCGCCAGCTTCTCTCCCACCTTCACCACCTTCACCACTTCCCAGTCCTCCGATACTGATCCATCACTCTTCCATATTTCCGCTCCCCCCACGTCTTAATCCACGTCTTAATCAGCACCGGTGTTTGACATATACGCTGACTGCCGGACTCTCTCCCATCGCTCTTTTGCATTCTGCCATTCATCATTTCCAGAATTGTTTCTGATTCTTCACATCTTTCGCTCCTCCATCTCTGTCGCTTTTCTTCAGTCCGGTCTCTGTCCGAGCTGCTGCACGACTAATTGCCAACCCAACGTGTCCGCCATCCCGTGTCTGATCCGGCGACTACCTAATTTAATTCGTCTGCCGCCAACTCTCTCTTCAGGCTTTATCTTTGTTTTTCTTCCTTTTTTTTGCTTTTCATTATCTCCAAGCGGGACGATCTCTCGATCGACAAGGCTCTCATAATCCTAATCTTGACTTTCGCATCTCTTGAACAGCGATCTGCGGCGGAGCTATCGTGACCGACGTGGGTCCAGGCAGGGAAAACCAACTAATTCAGTCACCACTGCCATCATCATTACCTCTCGAAACACCACTTTTAATTCTTCGCTGCTCCTCACCACCTAACCGCTGTCGCATGTTGCTGAGCCCATATTAATCATGGGTTCGACGCAATTTGGCAATTTCAACGTGGGTTCACAATTGAGCTGCACCTCGAGCTTGAACTGACCGTGGCCGATTTGCACGTGTAGGACTTTTGTCGCGATTCCACCTTACCAGTCTGCAATGTATGTAATCCCTCTCACCATGTCTCACTCGGACCTCGGAATATCGCTAACCATAGCCATCTTCCAGCTATTTGTGTCAAATAATCAACCTCCAAACAAAGCTTACGGTGGATGTGTACTCAAGGGCATTGAGCTCAGTGGTGACCGATATCTCAGCAATTTGGGTATGGCATGATAGTCGAGAGGGAAAGTTGATCTCAACTGACGTAGTAACAGGTTCAATTCTCCTGGCATTCATCTCCATCCTGACGACACTTTTTCTGCTATTCAGATCTGACCGCAAACGAGCCGCAGTTGGGAGAAGGTACGCAATAAGAACAAATTGGGATATTGGGGACCAGATGGGGAACTAATTGGAGCAGGGAGATTCAACTATTCTTGTTTGGCTTTCTCATCATCGAAATCTGCGAGATCTTCTCCGTGGGTGGATTCCCTCTGGACGGTGCGGTCCGAAAGGTTAGTTTGCCCAACTTGTCCGCGACGCTCGGCGCCTTATCCATTTATCGTACAGGGTTTCTCGGCGGTACATATTGCTGCTATTACTGCGACATGCTGGATTCTTCTGCTGAATGCTCTGGTGGGCTTCCAATTCCTTGACGACGGCACGCCCGCTTCGATTGGCTTGATTGTCGCCTCTGGTCTTGTCCTCTTCATCGGCACGGGATATATTGCCTTGGATACGGCTTTCGACTGGACAGGCGAATTCGCAACTACCTCCTCGAACCACTATCGCAACATTGCCCTTTATGTGCTGTACCAGCTCTTCCCGCTTGTTTGTCTCGTCTTGTTCTATGTGTTCGAAGTTATCCTGGTAGTGCGAATTCTTGGCGAATTCCGGCCGTTGAGTATGTTCCTCCCCACTTGTTGTATACTTCATGATTCTGACTTGGCTGCAGTCTATTTGACGGCTGCCGCACTCCTATTCGCCATTGGCCAGATCTTTCAATACGTGATTAGCGTTCATCTGTGCGAAGCATCTAGCGGGAAAATCAATGGTGCGCTGTTCGAGACTCTGTTCACTTTACTGGCAGTAGTCACTGTATGGTTCTTCTGGAGCAGCATCACGGAGGATGACTGGCCCATGCCGATGTCAACCCCTGGAGGCTACCATTAAACCAAGGGAACCCTATCAGGATCTCCTTCATGTCTTTGCGACCATTACGCACACCTTGTTTCCATGTTTCTTCTCTACGATCCTTGCACATATAGTGCCTCAATACCCATTTGGATTTTGTTCTCGGTCCTCGCGTCGCATCTACAATTGCGTCTTGCGATGAAGGCCCGTATGTTTACCATGTTTTGTGTGATACCTATTTCACCTTATGTTTGATGATGTTCTGCTAATGTGTCTCGGTGTGAGTTATGTTCTAACGATGACTTACCGCGGCGAGTGAGCCCGAAGGATCACCGTCGGCTATATTTACTGCCTTCCTGTCTCCGTTTCTTTTCACCTTGCATTCGATACCTATTTGTATTGTAATTAGTCGATTTGATTTTCAATAGGACGTACGCAGGAGACGTCGAGTCACATGATTCCAGTCTTGGTCAATCTAGGTCATTCGTTGATCCCTGTACGTGTCACCACTTCTGAAGACCTGTGTAAAATCTGCTCGTGTCCCAGATTACCCTAGGTATGACCAAAGTACCCCATTCTGGAAAAGAAACGCATACATCAAACTTCTCATCTTACGAAATGACTGCGTCGGGGCACTTGCGGGGCGCCTTTGAGATTCCATTTCATCAGGATTGACTCCTAAAAATAAGAAATAGGAATAAACTTCAATATATGCTATGTACAAATTGAATCAGAATCAGCCACGCCTCATCCACTATCATTTCGCCGAATCCCTGGTTAGATAATTCTTCATACTCAAAAGGCGATCTTTTCTCCTTCGCAAGAACTCGTAGCGAACCTGCAGCGTACAGCATAGAGCGCATCAAAGGTTGAAACGATGGAAACCGCCTCTCTGGGTCTGACTCATGTCTATGAGTTCAAGCAAGCTCTCCTTCTATCGCTCCCCACGAATTAAAGGACTAAGGATCCCGAAGTGACCACCGGCCGGTATATATGTAGACAGGGGCAAGTGACACGACACCAACCACCCAATATAATGTTTTTGTTTTCCCCTGATCAAAAACCACCCCGCATCCGCAAATATCACTTAGAGCCTCACCTTGACATCCACGCACGGCAAGGTCCACTCCCTCCGGCCCAGAAGACTGCGCACCCACTCCATGCCAATCCCCGTCCATTCCTGCGGTACACCCACCTCGGCCGATTGGTTCAGGGCGAGCCGCCGCTGCGCCTCATCGATGACGGCCCCGGAGAGTGTCTTGGCGGTTGAGGTCACCGTCTCCAGGAGATACTCGGCTAGGGTCTCGTTGGCGGGACTGACCGGGCATGAGGTGGGCGCGACGGCGGCGGCGGCGGGGGTGGTGTAGCGCGGACTGAACCAGTCGCCGCGGAGGTCGAAGAAACATTTGTCGGACCAGTGGCAGGAGGAGATGAAGAGAATGAGGAGCAGGGCGGAGCAGTAGATGCACGGTCGGTGGAGGATGTAGGTCAGGGTAACGAAGGAGATGATGAAGAGGGGGGAGGCGTTGGTGGGGATGAAGAAGAGGGGAAGCCAGCTAGATTCAGAGGTTATCAGTATGATGAGAAGGTAAAATGCATGAGAAAGAGCCGAGGTTGAGCGAGCGGTGTGGGTGAATGATGATGTGGATGGCATAGAGGTGGGCGCCTTACCTCCGCAAACAAAACATGGTGAATGAGGTGGTTTATGGAGAGTGTAGTCGGCTGTTCAGATCAGACGGTGAACGGATGAAATCAGTGGCGAACAGGAGTGTCCTGCGAAGAGTTCCGTAGAGAGGTGGGATTAGAGTAACGAGAAGGAGTCTCAAGGTGATTGAATAAGATCATCTCATTGAGAGTGCGCATTCATGATCTCCGTGTGTGGTGTGACTGGATGTTGCGGAATGGAGGGAGTTTTTGAGTTGTTGGATATTGCTGAGGTAGTTGGTTTGTGTTCATCATCTTCTATCATCATTCCGGGAGTTCACAGCCATGAGATAGTCTGGCGGTTCGTTACCGATTACCGTCATTGTGTAATCTTACGGTTATTTCTGCATGAGCCACCCTTCCTCCACCGCCACAATTACCACCAGCTCATCTTCTTCCCGCTTACCTCCAATTCTCGCTTCCTCCGAGCTTTTTCCTCTCTCTTTCCTCTTCTCTTTCCTCTTCTACTTTTCTCTCTTCCTCTCTTCCTCCTCCTCTTCTCTTCTCCCCCTTCATTCTCGTCACATGTACAATAGTCCGTCCTTTGCCTTTTGATCTTTCTCCTTCTCCTTCTCCTTCTCCTTCTCCTTGTTGTTCTGCTCCATTTAGCTTGCATTCTTTAATTGATTGCGCTGAGTCCGGGTTGTTCTCTTCACACCCGCTCTCACTCTCTCTTGCTTTGTTGGCTCTCGAAAGAGAGCTACTTCTGATCTACCTCGGAGCTTGAATCTTCTTTGGAGGTCGCCCTCATTGATTGGCGAGCGACAGAAATGTCCACCCCCAACGATCTTCAGGCCCTCTTGGCCAGCATCAGGCCCCGCCCCTCGCCCTCGGGCACCCCTGCTCATGATGCTCCCATGCCGCCGTATCCCATGCAGTATCAGCAGGGTTACCGCTCGCAGCATCCGCAGCAGCACCAGCCGCAGTACGATGGCCAGGGCTACCCTCACCCGCAGCTGCAGCAACAGCAGCAGCAGCAGCAGCTCCATGGTTATCGTCACCCGTCGGTTTCGTCGAATATTCACAGTCCATCTCCTTCCGTGAATACTCCTCCACACCACGGCTCGGATATCCTTAGTCCTAATGTTCCGACTCCCCGTGGCGATATGTTTTTTCATCAACCCCCGCCGCCTCAGCAGCAGCACCAGCAACATTACCAGTCCTTGCCTCATAACCCCGACCGTGCGGTGAATCTGCTGAACTTGCTCAAGTTCAACCAGCCTACCGCTCCTTCCGCCCCCCAGCAACAGCAGGCTCCGGTTCCTGGCGCTGAACAGTCCACTTACCTACAGCCTCGTGCTGCTGGCCTGGAGGAGCAGTCGAAGGCCCACGCGAGAAATATTTCCGCCTCTGATTTGGTTGCGTCGCTCTTTGGTGGCCAGGGACAAGGTGCTGCGGCCGCTCCGGCTAGGCCTTCGGGCTCCATCTCCGGTCCAGCTGGTGCTGGCACGGGCGAGAGCTCTGCGTCTGCCGGTCCGACCGCTGAGAACACGCAGGAGATGTTGCTGCGTCTTCTGAACCGTCCCAAGTCTAGCCAGGACGTTTCCGACGGGCCTGTCAAGGCCGTTTCTCAGTCTCCCTCGATCGTTGCGTCCCAAACGTCTCCTGTTCCTGAAGCGGAGCTGGGCAACATCCTCAAGTCTCCCACTGAAGAACTGGAGGAGCCCTTGGTGTCCCCGGACGAGGCTGGACCTTCCACGCTTGACAAATCTGCTGCGGGCAAGGATTCGATGTTCACCTATGTCAACCCGTTTGAGCAGCTGGCTGCCGCATCTCCCCGCAAGGTCACCTCGCAAGCCAAGCCTCGGAGCGAGAGTCCAGCTATTGAGATCATGAAAAGCAAGAAGATCACCATCGCCACTAAGGTTGAACCTTCTTCGGCTTCAGAGGCTGTTGAGACCCCACAGACCGAAGGCCCCAAATCGCCTATTTTGGCTGAAGAGCAGAGAGAAGCCGTTAACTCTGTTGTTGAGCGTCTTGTTGATGAGATCGGTCGTGAAATTGACAACGCCACCAACAAATCAACTGAGGAGAAAGTCACCCAGCTCGCTGCTGCCCAGGAGGACAGCACTCAGGCTGTGTTGTCTTCCATCGCCAGTCACCTCCAGGAGACGGCTGCCGAAGCAAAGCTTGAGGGCGGCGTAGATCGGAATTCGATTGAGGGCACCGCCACTCCCGCTGCTGTGAAGGAGACTTCCAATAATAGCAGCGGTGATGCACTGGCGGACAGCTGGGAGAGTGCTGAAGATAGTGCTGAAAAGGAAGAAGAACGCATTGTTTCTGTGCACAACTTCCCCCTCAAGCCGTTCATCTCTATTATCGTCAAAGCTCATTCAGGGAAGCTTGCAACCCTCCGCGATGACGGTATCATGGATATCGCTCGGCTTAAGAAGGATTTTGATCAGCTGGATCGCTCCTTGACCTCCGCAACTTCGGACTACATTGTGTATGCGCTGGCGAAGAACGGCGGTATGCGTATTATTCGTCAGGATGATGGAAGTGACAAGCAAATCTTCCGTTCTACCCGCGACCGCGTCTTTAATGTTGCAGTATGCACGTCGCAGACTGCTACTGGTCGTACCACTGAGGAGCAGGCCATTCTGGGAATTGGCGTCAGTGGAACCGTGTACTGGGCGTTGATTTCTCGCGCAGACAAGGACCTTTTCGAGCTCGACGCCCTTGAGAGCGAGAGCCTCATCTTCCCCCCTTTCCCGGCTTCGGACGAGAACACTTCGGGTGGCCAGCTGAAAACGCGGGCCAAACGGAGCTCTCGCCATCCTGGGTTCTTCGCTATCGGCCGTGGCAAGAATATATACGTGGTCTCCCCTCAGGCTGCCATGAATTCTAGCTACGGTGTGTCTGGACCTCAGCGCGTCGTTAACACGGAGAAGTTCTTCAAAGAACGTGCTCTGAAGATCTCGACCGGCAAGGCTGGCAAGGATTTTATGTTCAGCGATGATGACACAGTCATTGCCTCCCTTGACAAGACGGGTCGCCTCCGTTTCTGGGACATCCGCGAGGTGGCTAACAACCCAGGGTTCTTTGGCTCCGGACCCAATCCGGCTGAGGTTCGGGTGCCCTTGAATACGTTCGTCACGGGCTCTCCCGCAGAAAAGTCGTGGCCAACCTCCGTCCTCTTCATCGACAAGCTGCGTCCTTATGTCAAGTCGATGGCGCTTCGTTACGTTCTGGTGGGCTTGAAGCAAAACCACACCCTGCAGCTCTGGGATATTGGGCTGGGTAAGGCTGTGCAGGAGCTCAAGTTCCCTCACGAGAACGAATCGGACGCCATTTGCAGTGTCGCCTACCATCCCGCATCTGGCATCATTGTTGTTGGTCACCCAACTCGCAACTCCATTTACTTTGTTCACCTCTCTGCGCCTCGGTACAACCTGCAGGCGATGTCGCAGGCTTCCTTCATCAAGCGCTCCGGAGAGAAGGACAGCAGCCTTCCCAAGCCTGAGTCTACCGCTTGCATGAGTGGCATCCGCGAAATTTCCTTTGCCTCCAAGGGCCAGCTGCGAAGCTTGGATCTCCTCCCTATCACCAAATCGGCTGGAGATGAGAGTGGTTTGTTTGAGCTGTACGTCATGCACTCGCGTGGAGTCACATGCTTGAACATAAAGAAGGAAGATTTGGGATGGACCACCGACAACAAGATTGTCCGTCCTGTCAATGCTTTGGAGGAAGGGTTCATTGATATCGCTGAGCTGCAGACCTTCCCCACGTACGTGGCAGACGAACCATCGGTCAATGGTGATGCGGCTCCAACTCCCACCAAGCCGGCGGCTAAGGAGATCATCAAGAAGATGCCTGAGCTCAACACCGAAGCTGCTGCTGGAGCTGGTCCCAGTACCTCTCGCGTGCAGTCACCAACCAAGGCACCTGCTAAGAAAAAGGATGAGCCATTTGACACTATGTCTACCATCAATGGTGTCGACAAGGCTGAGAAGAAGAAAAAGAAGAAGAGTGCTGTCGCAGGCATGAGTGAGCCGACCGCAAAGGGCAAGGAGCCCCTGCTCTCAAATGACGGCCCGTCTAGTGAAGTTCCTGCTCCCATGCAAGGTGTCGCGGACAATGAGCCAGCCGTTGAAGAAGCCCCTGTCAACTCAAGCGCTCCTCAGGCAGTGCCTCTTGCTTCTCCTGTGGCTTCCGGCGCTGATTCCGGCGAATCGGCTGCTATTCTAAACAAACATCTAGAGGTGCTGCAGAACGGCGTATCCTCGGAGTTCACAAAAAGCCTTGGTCGCGAATTGGAGGGACTTTACACCCGCTTCGACGAGGAGCGCCGCAACTGGGATGCGGCCTCGGCAGCCAAACAGGATCAGGTCTTGCGTCTTGTTTCAAGTACTCTTTCAGACAACGTTGAGAAGAACCTTGCACGCATTGTCTCTACCAGCATCAAGTCAGAGGTTGTGCCTGCTCTGACTGATCTTACTGCCACAGTCGTTGGTAAGCAGCTCAACGGTGTTTTGTCGCAGCAGCTGGGATCTGTAGTCCCTCGTGAGGTGCGCCAAGCTCTCCCAGAGGCGGTTACTCGTGCCATGCAGCAGCCCGATTTGATGGAAGTCCTGTCGGAGGCGGTGGGCCAGAAGCTCGCTCCCCGTGTGGAAAGCGAGATTTCGAAGGCCATGCAGAACACAATCACCCCAGCCATTGAGAACGTTGCCATGCAGACTGCAGACAAGGTTGTTGGTAGTATGGAGAAGCAGATGCAGGCCCAGTTGAAGCAATTCGAAGCCCAACGCCAGGGCGATGCTGCCAAGATCGAGCAGCTCACTTCGCTTGTTCGTGGACTGTCTGACACGGTAGCCACGCTTGCTGCAGCACAGACCGACTTGCAGAATGAGGTTGCCAAGCTTACCCATGCCTTGGCCACCAAGGAGAATGTGGTTGAGCGGCAGCAACAGCAGCAACAGCGGCCGCCCGCTTCCGCTCGTAGCGCCTCTGTTGACACAAGAACTCCCGAGCAGATTGAGCTGCAGGAGATTGCGCAATTGATGAGCCAAGGTCACTTCGAGGAGGGATCAGTCAAGGTTGGTTCCCTGTGTCATCCAGTCATTTCAGTATGCTAACGGCAGTAGTGGCTGCAATCGACTCAGCAAGCGGACCTGTTTGACAACCTTTTTGTTCGCATGAACCCGTCTTACCTGACTAGTTTGTCACCCATCGTGGCCCTGTCTGTGGGTGTTGCTGTGACTTCCTCGTTGCAGACCAACCCTATGGAGCGCTTGACTTGGCTGGAGGTAGTTTTGCAAACGGTGAACCCAATGGTATATTTCCAAGAAAGCTAGATTTAAGTTCTACGCTAACATTCTCATTAGGACCCTGACATCCGTGAAGTCGCTCCTAAGATCATGGACATCCTTATCCAACGATTGGAAGCACTCTACATGTCGGTGGCCGAGACCTCGCCGCACGATCCCATCATCCGAAAGATCGCACCACTGTCGCGCCGCGCCAGGCTTCTGCGGGGTTAAAGCTTCTCTCATGAAAAGTTGATCGACCAAGTCTACTGGTTCTAATGAATAATGCAGTCCTTATGGGGATATTGACTTAAGAGAAATTGGGAGATTCTAATGGGTTGCATCACAACATGATTGCTTTTACGGGATGGCTACTTTATTTGGTTTAGCAATGAAAATGCATGAGCAATGATGAGGATGGTAGTTTCATTACTTGGTATCTAGTTCGATCCGCCTAGTGGGACGAATGATGAGGCATCACAGCTACGAATTAATATGCTCTTTTCCATGGTTGAATTTCTTATCTAATGATTATGACTCTTGCGATATACAATTCCTAGATGACGAGGTACGTCTGGCCATAGATCGTCTTACCAATCTGATCACGTGGACATCGAGCACTGGCCCCGGGTAAGGGACGCTCTTGGCTTCCCAGTCATCCTTCACGCCTGATAGACTGATAGAAGTGCAATCCCAATGTCTCGCAAACTCTTTGTCTTAAAAGATGGGGGGCTACCTCGAACGAAGACAGCATAGCTAAATTTACTTCCAAGTCGCGCCTGGGCCTACGGCTCCCTCTCTCGGGGCAATTTCAAACTGCATTTTGGAAGACTTCCTCTGTGAATTCATCTATGCAGTCCACCACACATAACACAATTTACCCGATGGATAGACCTTGAACGAAGAAAGGACATTGCTAACGATACAAACACCAAACTCCAAAGATACGCAGTCTAGACCCCAGGGATATACGACCCCAACAAACATTAAAATAGCCCCGTCCGGGCTGCAACCACAGTTCAATCGTCCAAGGAACAGTCTAATCCACCTCCTCAACGTGGACCGTCCGGATTCTGCCCTTCATGTACTTTTCTCTCTCCAATGCGCGAATCTCCAGAATTGTCTTTGAGTCCGCCAGGGTCCAAGTACCATTCTCCCTCTTCCCTCTCAGAGGAGCACAGGGCCAGCTCCAGCCGCGCAGCTTGCGATCATTGATCGACTCGTGGATGTATTCCCCGGTGAAGTCGCCTTCCTCGCCCTTGGGGTTATATCCGAGCGGCGTCCGGTGCGAGGTGCCCCCGAATACCCCCTCTAGCGTGCGGACCAGACTCGCCGTGTCGGACTTGCCTTGACTGGTCGCCCACGGAGCGAGGTCGCTCTCCGCCACCCGCGGGGGCACGTCAAAGAGATACTCGTCGATATCGAAGCTCAGCTGGCCGTCCTTCATACACTGAGCGATCATCCACGCCAGGGAGATGTTCGCCAGGTGGGGATCCTTCCCGCCGCCCCCGACGTCGGTGTGGACGCCGGAAAACCAGACCTGGAGAAGCTCCTGGCCGGAGTTCGGGCGCGGCACATGCCAGAGGATCGGGGAGTAGGCGGTGCGCTCTTCGTCCAGCGCCAGAGCGTGGAAGGCATATTTGACGTTCGGGAGCAAGTAGGTATTCCGGAGTTCCAGGCGCTCGCCCAGGTCCTTGCCGAGCCAGGCCTTCTGGAACCCCACCGTGTCCCAGACGCCGATGATCTTGACGGTGAAGGGCGGCAGCTCCTCCCGGAACCCCAGCCGGCGTCGTTCCTCGGGCGTGTAGTCGGGGACCTGCTTCTCGTAGAAGTCGTCGTACACGTTGGTGAAGTTGTCCATGCCGCGGTGCGTGAGCAGTCCCCAGCGGCAGACGAGTCCCGCGATCGCGCGCGCGGTGTAGGCGCCACGGGAGAAGCCGAAGAAGAAGATCTCGTCGCCCTCGGTGTAGTTGTCGGTCAGGAAGCCGTATGCCGCACGGACGTTGGCGCTCACGCCTAGTCCGGTGACACCTGGTGACCGAAACACAACCCTTGTCAGTGGGAGGCCAACAATTGAGTAGGGGTAGGTATTGATTATGGCGAGATAATTAAGGCGGCAACTGGGCTGACATACCGCCCATATATTTGTCACCTAGGCCGGTGCCAACCCCCTTTTGATAGTAGACTATCTGCGGGACTTCTTTCCTGACACTGTTCTCTTCCACGATCGCTGTCTGACTGAGTGTTCGACTCAACCGGGTCACGTTGGACGGTGGGTCCGCAGAGTCGGCTGTGGAGTCCTGCCAGGTTCCTAGAGGTGTGCATTAGCGACCAGATTGCATGGCATTCAAGGTACACAGGTGACTTCAAACCATCGCAGCAGACAATGAGCCGTTTGTAGGAACTGCGCTCGAGGCGTGTCATTTTGTATATATACAGATAGTGGTTATATGCCGTAAGATATATGGGACTATTTCTCGAGAAAGGGCGGATTTCGAGAACCACGATGCCTTGTCAAAGCTCCTGAAAGGGGTCCATCATGGCTTGGGATAGTGCCTATATTTATATCGATTTAGTCCATCTGACAGGCGTGCTCTCGGCGACGGAGTCCATTCGTCAGCATTGGCGCTCAGCTCAGCCGCTACACATCTGTATTGAGATAAAACTTTGTTCTCAGCCCTGTGGCCACTTTCGAGGAGGCTCATCAGCCAGTCTTCGTCACGATGGCTTCTGTGACGAGCGATCAGTGTTCGGGAATACGAGTAGCGAAAGGCCGCCCTGCCATGGTGATTTGGCCGAGCTGAAGGTTTATATCCGAGATAGATACGGAACATCATTGAGATTGAAGTGGGATGAACTCAGAGAAACAACGGTGGGCCATATTGATTGCTTGATTGTTGTTTGTCAAGAGAGTCGAGTCGCAAAGGCGGCGGCGTGGGGGGAAGCCAGAAGGCATGCATGCACTAAACCAGATCGACTCCGCAAGCAAACTGAAAGCAATCAACAACAACTTCTCCAGCCACAGCCCAGACTTTCAAAGCCTCAACAACAACACGAGGCTGACCAGATGCAAAAGAACAGAGGCTCATCAGGCCTCCCCCGCATTCAGCTACAAGGCATCACGCGCAGAGTAAGCGAGGTGACACTCTATGCCTCTCGAAGTCAATCCCCCGTATTCGTGCAGCTCTTCAGTTTGTTGATGTCCGGCTTGCTCAGCACATCACTCGGCCTTCACCATCGACGTTCTGCACTTGTGCAAGTGAATTGGGTGTTGGCTAACGCCAAGATGAACCATTTGGTCCTGTAGCTGCCAAGGCTACGGTCGCTGTTCTGTAGCGCCGTCCAACCGACTTCAACAGCGCTGCCTCCGACAGTCTTTGCGCGAGGCTGCTCATCCCTGTTCGATTAGAGAGTCACCTGCGGCTCTGAATCCCATGCTATTGCACGGATTGATGAGCTAGATCCACGGGTTTGAGACGAGACTCTGTGGTTCAGACGAACGAGAGATGGCATGCGATGTCAAATGATAGATACTGAAGGATAGTCCTCAGATGAACTGTCTTCATTGATCTGATCTGGTCTACGGTATAACAACATCCTTACCTGTATGTTTCCATCCCCCTCACCTCCCCTTGTGAACAAGATGCTCCCCTTATTTTGGCTCCGATTTGTGACTCACCTCACACTTATATTATACGCTAACTATTCTACATTCTATAATGACTCGTCAACTAAGCAAACATGACTATAACTAAACAATCTTTACTGTTCCGATGGCCAACAAGAACTAAACCAGAGATGGAAATTCAGTCGACCAGTGCACACTTGTGCAATTCATAGGCAATCCCGAACAATCAATCTCCGCACAAATAGGCATCTGCCAACGGAATACTGCCAGCTCAATCTCATCCCCGCATTCGCAGCCTAGCCACTTAGTTCTATCAGCCTCCGCAAGTCTGTGGTTGGTGGCCCGGTCAAATTTCACTGCGCCAAGCCCCATGTTTCTCCTGCAGGCCCTCGTATTCGATCGGCTAGTTGCTCTAGCGAGTCAGGCTTCTTCCTTGGCCAGGGACCTTTTTTGTCGGGATCCCTCCGCTCATTGCCTTAATAGACCCGGCCATGGCCTGTGCCAAGAGGAACCGTCGATTGAGATGCCTGCCCATCACTTCAGCCGGTCCCTGACCTTAGACCCTGAATATTTGCCCGATCGTTCTCCGCAGAAACCCCGATATGGCAAATTGGGGTTGGAGGAGGATTTAAACCAAATCCCCTTCCCAGGGTGACGATAATTGAACCGTTTTCCTACCACGCAAACATCATGGCTTTCTCTACGGGAGCTTGGCTTGCCATTGCAGCGACGTTATCTCATGTGGTGGTGTCGAAGCAGGCCGGATACTTCGACTCGTCCGATTGTGTGGCCCCATCGGCGCTTGAATCGTGCTACGATGATGCATCCGATTATTACGCTCAGTGCATAACTAATAACTGTGCTGGTGGCTCGGATGAATGCTACAAAGCGTGCGGGGGTGATGTGGCCTGCATGCAGAGCCAATGTCCCAATCTGGGCATTGATTGTATCAATGTGTGTGGTTGTGTGAAAGCATCCCGCGAAATTGACTGCGCGGCTTCTGCTTGTTGGAATCAGGTATATGGCAGACACTCTCATGCATCTCAAGCATCCAAGACTGACTGAAGGGGGTGGGGTCCGGGGAATGGATAGGTTTACTCGTGCGAGTACCAGAAAACAATTGAAGACTTGATCGATCTATGTCCCTCCGTGAACATCACTCAGCTCCCTTTTTGGCCGCCTCCCGACGACGCCCCCGCTGGTTGTTCATGCAACATAGGCAAGGTCGATCAGCGGGAGTTGTTGATTGCGGACCATATGACCACGTGCGCGAACAATATGACGAATCTCGATCAACTAACAAGCGCGGAGGACATCGCCGACTACGCGCGAGCTTGTACTTGCTGTGGGAAAAGTGCTATCATCTCCACGTGAGTTGTCCTCTTCTCTCTACCCTATCGCCGAGTGAAAAGGCGGGATCGCTGACAGTATCTAGGATATGGGGCGTGTGTCCCAACACGCAGCCGGCATTGTTGGGTGCAGATACCTGGTACAACGCCGTGATTGCTCATGATTGGGACATTTGTGGACCCTATCTTGAGAATTATGACTGTGCGGGAGCGCTGGGCTATGGTGCCTCGTCGGCTGGTAACACCACTCAATTCTACAAACCTGGAGACCTACCTGCGAACGGGACCGAAACGCTGTCAAACACTGGGGGTGTCATCTCCACCCCCATTAGTGGAAGTACCTTCACCTGGACGTTGGGCACGGTCCCCCACCCTGTTACCGCGATGGCAGCTACAGCTACAGCAACGGCGAATAGTGGGAAGTCGGGCAGCACCGCAACTGGGGCGGCGGCGGCGGCGACTACGAAATCGGAGTCGGCAGCAAGGTACACCAGTGCGCCGATTATGGCTGTGTCTGGGGTCGTTGCGTTCACCTTGGCGTTATTAAAGGTCGCCTAAGCCAGGCTATCAATCCAGCCCTTCTGGATAGCCAGTTTCGGTCTTGTAAATCACTAGAAGCGACCATACTTTCAGTCCTGTGTATATGCTATAGCCAATAACAAAAGCCGCGTCTTTCTCATGTCCAGGCCAAGATAGGCGGTGCTTATCAGGTTGGGATTCTGAAGAATCCCTTGGGGGTTGTCACTGTAGGCTCAAGCACTGCGATCCGCGGGCATCTTCCAGCTGTTGATAATTGCGGTGGCTCAGACAAGGACATTGCAAGCTTCAGTGAACTCTGCAGGTGAAGCTCATTTGACGCGGTATGCATAACTATCCACTCGGGTATGTTCTCCTGAACAGGAGAGTTTCACATGAACACAATGGCTCTGGGAGAGGGTGTCGAGCACGACCGCTAAATCAGCGATCTTATTTCCTCAGTAAGAGGTAAATTGTCTTTCTCCGCAGCTGTCAAATGCACATCTCTTTGTTAGTTCTGAGACTGGCCGATAAGTTTCGTTCTGATCAAGTGCTAGTTACAGTGTAAGAAATCTATCGCAAGCTCTACGCCAGAACAAAGGCATTGCTGAATTACCAACTCCCAGATCAAAGACAATGGCGGAGGTTCACCTGACAGTGGTTCTTGTTTATCTACACTTGGGTCAGTCTGAAGGTAGATCAATGGATATATAGTCATAAGAAGCAATAATGTCGCTTGGACTATCTCTTCGGGATTTCCCTGTGAGCTGCAAGTATTGGGCCTCTGTCTACTCCAGCGCTATCAAATAATGGAAGACCCGAGAAATGACGAATATTGGTGGGGTGCAACCGTCAGGGCAGCTGAGGATATGAATCCAGTGGAAAGCTTGGACTGTATGTATTACCATGGCCCTGAGTATCCACAGTATCCAGCCATTGTGTTGGAGGATGATCGCCAGTGGCGCTCGCTTCAGCTGGCGAGATTGCCAGCAGAGATATCCCTGGAGTGCTTTGAGCATATGACCAATCGAGAACTGGCTAATCTCAGCCAGACTTGCAAGTATCTGTACTTGATGCTTCGTTCACTGCTCCGGAAGAAAGCCCGGCAGTTTGCACTGGCGACCCTGGATGAGTACCGAGAGCTGCTCTGGATCGATCGAAACGGCCGGGCCCTCTACAAAGACTGGCAGACGGACCTATACTCCATTCCCTTCCGTGAGCCCGTCTTCGAGGCTGTTGCGGCTGGGGATTACTCTCTTGTTGAGTGTTATTTGCGCGCCGGCGTGAGTCCAAATGCCTACGGGCTGGAGGGCTGGCCCTTGCTGCCCTGGGCCGCCCGCAGTGGCCGGTTGGAGATAGCGCTGCTGCTGCTGGACCATCCTGCCATTGATGTTGGGCTCGTGGCCTGCGATGAGCAACTTTTCCCCGATTGCAGTCCACTTCCATTGGACATTCTGTGCAACCGCCACTACCACTGGAGCTACCATTCGGAGAGATATCTTCGCCTGCTAGACTCTGTCGTTCGCTCGCTCCTAGATAAAGGGGCGACATTCGAACACTTCAACGCCTTCCAGTATATCAGCGCCAGTCCGCATCGACTCCGGTTCATGGAGGCGGCGATGGAGAATGGTTCCGATCTCCAGGCCGTGGTCATTGGCATGCGGCGGACGACCTGGTATCACCACCACGAGTCCCCTGCAAAATTCGCCGCTTGCCAGCCGGACTCGCGATACCTTGAGCTCGTCGTGCGCGTGGCTCCCGAGATCCTGGGTAACGTAGGGAGGGATTGGCAGAAAATCGGCGGATGCCGGCGGCCGGCGACGTTTAGGAGGAGGGATTGGAAGAAGTTGCTACGGTGGCTTCAGCGGACCTACGGCCTTGTTCCCGGGAGAGACTTCCGCCGCTGCTAGAAGCGACGCAAGGAACCCGTGGGTTCTGTATCCTGGAGCGAAAGCTGCGCTTGTGGGTGCTTATATGTTAGAAATGAAAGTAATGAATGTGCTCTTGGCACTATATCTATTGAATAATTGGCAAGTCTGTGTTTTTTAGGAAGTGTATGTCGGGTGTTTGATTATTGTGTGTTATGTACCCGGGAGGTTTGGCTGGTAGTGGCAGATACTTTGAGGTTGGGGTTGGTGTCTGTTGTACAGTACAAACAGCCAGCTGAACCGAGAGTTGCCCTAATTGAATGCTGTGAAAAAAGGTTCTGGGATATAGTGCACAGCTACATCTAATTCTTCAACAGCGAGGCCTGCTGGCCCAATGGTAAGGCGCTTGACTACGAATCAAGAGATTGCAGGTTCGAGCCCTGCGTAGGTCATTACTTTTTGCTCTTTTGCCCATGTAATTGGCCATATCCTAATCCTACCCAGGTCAACACCACGGCATTGACCTCATCCGCAGGGCCACGATTTACCCAGTGCATACCGGCGACATATATCCGCGACCCTGGGATCGATCGATCGTACACACTCAAAGAGGGCAATCGAATGGTACGCACAGCGCAGATCGAGAGATAAGTATAAAAAGAAAAAGAAAAAGTGCTTCCTACTCATACGTGATGACCCGAGAAGGATACGTCCATCTTATTGTCCGGTGGAAAGCCCACCATGACGTTGATTGATATTCGTAGGGACCCCATGATGGATTGCCCGGATTTGTACCCAAAAACACGTTCCCAGAGGTATTATCAAGGAGGCATGGATGATGGATGAACAAAGCTAAAAAGTAATGACCTACGCAAGGCTCGAACCTGCAATCTCTTGATTCGTAGTCAAGCGCCTTACCATTGGGCCAGCAGGCCAGCTGATGTATCAATGCTGCTCTTATGCCACTACAGCCAGAGGCATGCTTTATTAGCCATACCGCACACAGCATCAGCATATACAAGAGCATCGGTGCCTTGCAGAGAGGGCTGAAGACCCGCACCAAGCGCCAGTATACACACAGACAGCATCGGTCTCGAGTGTCAGTTCAAATGCAATCAATACAGTGGCCAGACCGAATAACGTAACGACGGCGTAAGATCTGATAATACAAAGTTTCATCGAGCCCATGAACCGGGCGGTCTACCGAGATATCTCGAACTTAATTCGACAGTGACATGCGTTGTATGTCTGCTGCTTTTTTGATCCGTCTGGAACTCACAATGACGGTATGCCTGTGTGCATTTAGCCGTCCAATACACTTGTTGCAGAGTTAAGGGCTCACGGTGTATCAACCTGATCTACTGTTGCAACTAGATGCGCAGGCTGTGCGGGAATATAAATCCAAGCACTCTCTACCCCACCCGATTGAAGAGACGAGGGTTTACCCAAAGAAAGCTTTATAGAGACAGATCCCACTGTTCCCGCAGATCCAGCTGGAGTCCAACGCACGATGGGAACCCGACCAGAAGCCGAACTTATGATTTCTTTCTCCGACACCACCACTAGCACACGATTGAGTTCTCGGGTGGCCGCACACATTTTATCAACATCTCCAACCTGCATCAGCTACGACACAAGTCGAAAAAGGCAAAAAATTGACCTACGCAGGGCTCGAACCTGCAATCTCTTGATTCGTAGTCAAGCGCCTTACCATTGGGCCAGCAGGCCTTGCTGATGAAAATTATGCTGAATTTGTGTTACACAAGATGGAAACCCGACTCTGAGTCACAGCGGGAGTTGGATTTACGTAGCAATTTAAACCTAGGACCTCGGACTATGTGGGGCTAGCGGGGCGGAAAGAGTCCGTCGCTCTTCAAATCACCTCTGGTTACCGGGTGACTCCTCCTCTCTACTTGTACTCATAGTCTCTTGGATCCTCAGTACTCATTTACTCTACCCAGCACCCACGCACACCCATCATCATACTAGTCCCAGGCCAACGGGGTTCCCATTCACACACACTGGACCCCCAAACAGCCGGGAATCAGACATAGGACATGTATTATGCAACAATCAACACACAGCTTGAACATTGATGATGCGACCCAGCAGAATGGGAGGTTCTCCACAATTGAGTCGGTTGCATGCGGCACATGGGAGGAATGGGATCGATTTCTCAACCTTGAGATGGACGATAACACGTGTGAACTCACATCATTCGATGACGAGGAGATCAATCACAACAGAGACTCAACGTCACATGGGGACGGAAGCTCAATCGCGTTGGCCTCCTCCATCAATCCAGCCCACGCCTGCCCTATCACTAACTTCGAAGGAGCAATCCCTGAGCTACACTATAGCTTCACTCATGTTGAACCCACCGTAGCACAGCAACTGACCGGTGGTGTGGACGCGGGCTTCCATATATCAAACTCCCTCCTGTCAAACCACGCCATCCCAGAAATAGACAGCGAACTGTGGCCGGCGTCGAGCCTCGAACGATTAGCTAGCTTTGACTCTCAGTACCATCCCGATAGCCTACCGGCTACTTCACTCCATGGCTCTCATGATACTCAGGCAGCGCTACCCGCGTTGGATAGTGGCTTTGGCAGCGCCTCGCTCTTAGTGCCCGCCGATACCACGCCACCGATGTTCAACCCGGACACACAACGCACGCTCCCCAGACGCAAAAGCCGATATGCAATACGAGGCAGAGGAACGAACACCGCCCCATCCTACATCCCAAACCCCCAATTTTCCGCCGACCCTTTACAGCGGTGGCAAGATTCACCGCCGGAAGATGAACCAGCCTCGCTGTCAGCGATCATGGAATCCCTGAGAAGATTCCCGCCAACCTATGATCAAGAAAGCAGCCCTGGAATGGGCACTGCAAGCCTGGGTCCATTGCATGATTCTTTCAAGGCACACCGGCATCGAACCACGTCGATACCCAGCTCACAAAGTAGCGCCCGCAGTGTCTCTTCCCAGCCCTCTTCCACCTCGGCCAAATCGGCAACCTCCCAGAAGTCTCAAGGTCCGATACGGACTTCCAAAAAGCGTGCTACTGGACGCGTGCGTAAGGGCAGGAGTGCGAAAATGAATCCAGGGGAAAAAGGCCGTCTGTTTTGTTGCACCTTTTGTTGCGATCAATTCCGAACTAAATATGACTGGGCTCGACATGAAAAGTCTCTCCATCTGAACCTGGAAGAATGGGTCTGTGCACCCCAAGGCGGGACGGTAGTTTCGCCTTCTACTGGGGGAAGGCATTGCTCGTTTTGCAACATGCCAGACCCGACAGCGGAACACCTCAACGAACACAAGTATGAGCCTTGCATGGGTGGTACGCGCACTTTCCGTCGCAAGGACCATCTGGTGCAACATCTGCGACGGACGCATCATCTTGAGACCCTACCCCAGGTCGATGATTGGAAAGTCCAAGGGCCTCCAGTTACGTCTCGCTGCGGTTTCTGTGACCAGAGGCTGTCGTCCTGGGAAGAGCGAGTCGATCATCTCGGCAATCACTTCCGCAGTGGATCGACGATGGACGACTGGCGAGGGGACCATGACTTTCCTCCGGCCATTGCCAAACTTGTGGTGAACTCGCTGCCACCGTATCACATTGCTTCGGATTCGCGTGTACTTGTGCCGTTCTCAGCCACAAACTTCCACCACTACGACCATCTCAACCAGATAAAATCACGACTGGGGACGAGCAAGTTGAATGCCCCTGACCATGAACTGAATGCCGACGGCCAGCTAGGGTCTTTCGGAGAATCAGTCAGTGCTGGGTCGGGGAACGATATGATTGAGGTCCTTGTGTTTCACCTGAGTCGCTTTGCGCGCCAGCAGATGGACAAGGGAATCATTCCTACGGACGAAATGCTGCAGCAGGAGTCGAGGCGACTGGTTTACGACAGCGAGGATTCATGGAATCAGACCATCTTTGACAATCCCAAGTGGATTGCTGCCTTCCGACGCCAACATATTGATCAAGTGGCAGATTCTGAGAGGGATGGGATGCTGCATCATTTGGATGGGGTTTCCCTTCATGACGATGATCACGGACCAAAATTAGATAATGCATGATGACAGAGCTCAACAAGACTAACGGCAATTATGTACACAATGGCGCACCTAGTGCGAAAACTGTGGCCACAGCGAGGCAAAGAGAAGCTTTACTCTACCCTAAGCACAGACTGGCTACGATGTACCCTCATTGTTATTCCGCTCGTCGCTGCGCCACTTGCGTGGCGTTTCAATCGAATCCACCATTGAGATTATCTTCAATGGGATGTCAATCTGAACGGTTGTATGTAACGGCGATACACTTGAAGTGGAATGAGAGACTGACAGTTTGAGGATATAATCCCGGCTCATGAGACAAGAAGCAAACGAGGGGACAAGAACTTTGTCCCTAGGAAGGGTGATTGGAACGACAACCGAGGCCTCGTAACAATCACCGGCACAGCCAAGGTGCTGGGAGTCATCATTGGCGAGATTATCTTTCTGACTCCGCCTAGCCCATTGCCATTGCACCGACCTCATACAGACAGAGGACAATGGTATGGATCTGACAAAACGATCAGTGCCAGCTGTGGAAGCACAGCCTACCTGAAGTCCAGGATTGCAAGTGTATGTGGTTGACACCTCAAGCTTGGTACGAAGAGTCTTTAGACGTGGTGGAGGAACTCGATCAACGGAATCGAATCGGACACGCACCGCAATCGAGCAAATATCCTTCGAAACCACGTACTCCGGCGTAAGAAGCCGAATAGGCGGTGGCTGAGATGCCGTCAAGGTGGACCGACCAATTACTTGCTCGAGTATGTGCGGATCTATCTGATGGCCCTCCACATCCGCTTTCCCACCTAGACCCGAATGTGTCTGATCATTGGTAGGGACCACCCTCACTTGCTTTGATTGGGCTGCCAGTACTTGCCTCCTGGGACCATTCACTATCCGAACTTGAATTGCATATATGACTTCGCATATAGACGGAGTAAAACCATCACGGCTGCCGCCTGTAAGGGTCAGCGGAAGCTGTGTATGGGCCTCATCGAGCTTCGATGTGCAAACAGGCGGTTCTATGCAGTCCGGAACAACAAAGCTGAAGGGAAAGGAATAAGTTTCATCCTTCTTAAACTGCCGCGGCGACGGAAAGATGTTGGTGGAAAGAGGATATCGCATTTTGAGGAATGTCCTGAAGCACCGATTCGTCGATCGGTGTGCGGAGGGCCGGTTCGCTCGTTGTACACCCGATAGACACCTATGTGGTTTTAGCTGATGCTCAAGGCAGTGGCTTTCTTCATTACTGCTTACCCTCAAAGGTGATATTGAGATGGTCAAAGTCCACATCGTGCTCGACTGTAATGGCTGCGGTTCCATTGATCTGGTCCGAGTTTGTGTAGGTTTTGATGGTGTTTCCTTGTTCACCGACCAGGTTTATGGAAATGTTCACGCTCTTCCGGGCCCATAGCTCCTGGATGGCCTTGACACATAGATTAATGCCACTGGTGGACATTATGAGGACACATTCCACACACAAGGATTGAGGGATGGCTGTAAGTCTGTGAATGAGCAGGGAGGAACCATGGTACTCGCTTTATAATTACCCAAGAAGGTATGGAGTAGTAGCAGGATGTCTCTCGTTTCATCGTACGCATGCTTCTAAGGCGTCTAAGGCGTCGTAAGGCGTGGGGGATGGGCTCCATTCCAACAGTGTAAGTCACAACAAGTGGACCCCGCCAAGGGTAAAGGGCGTGCTTTAACTATAATCAGGGACTTCCCAACCTGAATAAGCGTGTTCTGATCTGAGTGCTTGGGGTCATTTTGGTGGTTGGTGGGGTGAGTTCAAGCTGAGAGTTATTCGGTAAGAAGGTATTATCATGATGTCTTAGTATCTTGATGTTGTGGGAGAGTGCATGCATGGCATTATTGACCAGTTGATGGGCAGGGATGTTAATTAGCCTGCCATAGGTCATGGGACTTAGCTGTACATGTGGTTCAAGATTGAAACAGAGATTAACTCCAGATAGACTTTGTCTGGACCAGATTGGCATCCTCGAACTTCCAAGCCTAGAACACAGACATTTCATGAATCAAGACAAGCATATACATATATCCTTGCATCTGAGTCCATTGCAGGACCCCTAGGCTGGGCATCAGCCCCGTTTGCACAGCATGGTGCTGACATGCATCCGGTAGTCCGGGGTCGATGGGTGACTCAGAACAAAGACTCAGCTCGTATCGACGATGGCTGACTCATTTTGAAACCCACCCGACGCTTAAAAGCTTAGCCTGACATCCCACTTGTTGTCACTTGCAGGAAGTATAGTCTAATATAGTGAGTCAGTCAGGGAGTGGGAGAGTAGCTTTCCAACCTTAACAAGAACCGCGCTCGCCAAGCTTTGAGCATAGATCGATTCTTTCAAGCGAAATTCATGCAATACAAACTAATCAATTAAGGCTTGCTTGTTACCTATTGTCAATAGTCAAAGGACAAGAGTCAGGACCACAAGACCACGCCATCCCATTTTCGGACCCCGCCAGACTGTGCCTAGTGGATATAATATATGACCATAGCTTCCTACCAGTCAACTATCCCCATCCCCTCTATCTTCCGCAATTAAACATGGACGCAAAGCCAGAAGATAGCTTCGCATTCAATATCACCCGCGAGCTGGAGCACACGCCGTATGCATGTTCGTCCCTCACGCGCCTAAGCGGAGGAACCGTCAATTTTGTCTTCCGAGGACTGCTGTCCCGACCCCTTGAGGATGGCACAAAAAGCGTCATCATCAAGCACGCAGAGGGTTATACAGCTACGAATCGGAACTTCAGACTGACTGCTGAGCGCTGTGTAACCCCTCCCCTCCCCCTTCCCCTGTTTGGAGAACTTTCGGAAATGGATAGCTGACAAAGACCACTCAGCTCTTTGAGGAGGCCAGCTTGAAGGCCCTCGATGGGCTCCCCAGCACAGTGACCCCGAAGGGGAAGTCTGAAAGCCGAGTCATCACAGTCAAGCCTCCTCGACTCCTCACCTATAATCCCGACACCAACACCGCCGTCCTAGAGGATCTCCCCGATTCCCTGGACCTGAAGACATTCTGCATCTCCTCAGCTGCGTCGACGATCATCTCCCAGGAATGGGCCGTTTCGGTTGGAAAGGCGCTGGGCACCTGGCTGTGGGCATTCCATCGATGGACCGACGAGACGGATCAGGCGAACGTGGTAGCGGAACTGGAAAAGAATCGCACGATGCGGGACTTGAAACTCTCCGTCAACTACGGCAGTCTCGCGGAGAGAATCGATCAGTATCCCGCTCTGCTGGGCGAAGCCCGCGAGGTATTCGAGAAGGTGCGGGTAGCGGCGGCCGCTGAGTTGGAAAAGAAGGGTGGACTCGGATATGGAATCATCCATGGGGACTTCTGGTCGGGAAAGTAGGTCATCTTCCTCTCCCACAGTGTATAATTGCTGCGACCCCTTGGGGGATATCGAAGAGCTGACGCGACAGCAGTGTTTTGGTTCCCATATCGGCACTAGACTTGAGCCCTCAGACCTCGCTCTTCATTGTGGACTGGGAGCTCTGTCATTTCGGCCCTCGGGCGTGGGATCTGGGCCAGATGCTCGCCGAATTGTATATGTTGAAGCATTACAGAGGCATCGATGCTGGGCCGTGGATGATTGAAGGCTTTCTCGGGGGATACCAAGTGCCAGATGAGGCATTCGCCTTCTGGGTCCTGATTCACGTCGGTGTTCATTTTATTGCATTCGGTTCTATGATTCGGGGCTGGGGGGCTCCGGAACAGGTTGCGGACCTCGTCCATTTGGGCAGAAATCTGATTGTGAAGGCATGGGAAAAGGACCGGGAGTGGTTCAGTGGGGTATGGAAGCATCTATTCAAGGACTTGTAGACAAGACATGGTCTAGAGCTCTCCACCGTTCAGTTGGTACCACTATCCAAATGTCCTGAGCATCGGTTGTATCACCCCAATACCCTGCAGGGGACAGGATACCATTGGTCCACGTCCACCCCCCTTACTGCTGGCTTTTGATTGACGCCGTCAAAAGGAGCCATCCACATTCTCCGATGTCATCCTAGCTGGGTTAGGATCGTGGTCTACTTTCGGGGAACTGCAGCTAGTATATTTGGCAAACAACGTGATGGTGCGACCGTCTAAGCCTTGTATGACCTCGGTCGAGTATTGAGCCTGATTTCCACCGACGCAGGTTGTAAGCGACCTTATTATTCAATGGTAATTTAACATAGCATGCAGCACGAAAACACAGTCAGATCCCAATGCATTTAAGCTGCTGAGTTCGGACTGTTGGCTATGAGCTGAATGGGTTCTGCCTAGGTTTGCCGCCTTCATGCAGCTGCAGGCTGACCGGAGTCTATGTAGGGGCCATCAAGTGGCTGGATCAGACGCAGATTTGCTACAAGGCAAGTGTGGTGAGTAATCTTGGCTAATGCTGGGCGTCTCAACAACAGGGCTCGTGCTCGGGTGTTGAGGATTGTCATGACCTGTGATGATGATGAGTCCTTTCGTCCACCCTTGCTGGGCCAAGCATTCTAGTTCTCCTGGGCAGTCAGAGTGAGATTGCCCTGGATCGGAAATATGCATCCGGTGGGGTGGGCCAGAGTATTTATATGGCTGTCGGGATGTCGCGGGCTTTATCTGAGAGGGTAGACTGGAGATAGAGAATTGACATCATCTATGATCATTGGGGAGTACTCATAGTTAGCAGTTCCAGCAGTGCAGCAGATCCCTCGGCCGATCCACACACCCTTAAGAAACTAAGCGACTCCAAGTGACTTCATCAGTAAGCTATAGCCCATAAGCCCCCCCAAGCTTATATGTATTGCTGTTCCAACTTCCAACCTGGTGGTCCTCATCCTTGTATCAAATCAATTAAACTCGTGCGTGAACCTTCACCTGCCATTGCTTGGAACCACTTTGGTCTCTCACCTACCTACCCTACTCCTACTGAGTATACACTATCATCTTATATCTCTGGTGGCTCGGAACATTCGGATCAGAAGAAGCCTTGCTTTGCATCTCACCCCCCCAATTGGCTGTCCAATTCCTTGATTGCATGTTGCCTGGCTATCTCTTCGCCCCATTTTATCTGGGAGATTTCGACATCGCGCAATTGACTCTCTGGCTGTATAAGACTCTGGAAGTCTGATGATTGCGCTGGGTTGTGTTGCTATTGTTGCTATTGTTGTTTTTGTTGTTTGAGACCACGACGACAGAGCTTTGCTAAGAGTGACGTTGTGTGGACTTGACTCATCCGCCCACCACCACTGCACCGCAGCGCGACTTCCCACTCTTTTTTTCCCCTCCACTCTTGGCTACGACTGACTGCACTGTATCGTTCTTCCCTCACTGCTCCCTCTCGTTCTCTTGATTCCCTTATCAGAGAGTTGCGCAGTTTCCCTTGCCTTCACGCGAAAAAACCCTCCCCCCCCACTTTGACACCTTACTTTCATCGTTCTCTCTCTCTTAATTCAGGCTGCGTCCCTGCGCCACCTGCGGGGATGTCTCAACACACAGATATTGCGCGTTCGGCCATCATGACCTGCGCCTCAGTTCCGGATCACCAACGCGACGGGAAAAAACATTCTGGAACTCCGTCACAGTCGGGAGCCGGGAAAGAGGCGAGTCTTATGCCTCCGGCGAAATCGCTGGTCGGACGAGCGCTAGGAAACGAACTGCATTCCTCCGATGCCCACAAGGGATCCCAAGCCTCCAAGGATGGTGTCGGGTTCGCCCTAACAGACACTCCGGTTTCTACCGCACCCTCGTCTCCACAATTGTATGTATTTCCTTTCTTTTCGTCTGCTCGTTGGTTAGCCTTCCTGCACATGTCCCCTAGAGGTCTCGATTGAGTCGACTCTGGCCGGAAGAGCATTCTAGATTTTTGCCGCAGCCTGGGGAGTGATCGGCAGTTTGCTCTGGAGTCGGGTTATTTCGTACCGGCACTTAGAGGGGGTCACCTTTCCTCAGATTATCCCCTTCCCCTCCCCTTCCCCCTCCTTCCCCTACCTGCAGCAATTGTCGGTCAAGTCTTTCGACGAGGGCTTTGACTTGATATGCTCTTCGATTCTGTATTGATGACCTCCGGTCGCAATGCGCGGTGTGATGTAGCCGAAGCTGAGGACATCTCTTAAACTAACCGACTGTCATTAGTCCTGCCAACTCATCAACCCCCAACCTCCCTGGTCGTGTGCGTGCAACCACACTCGACATCCCCGGTCTCACCAAGTCGAAGGTCTCCCCCGACGGACGAATCGCCCAGCGAGATGTCGGATCCAAGCTCGTCATTGTCATGGTCGGCCTTCCTGCCCGGGGAAAGAGTTACGTCACCAAGAAACTCGCGCGGTACCTGAATTGGCTTCAGCATGATACTGAGATTTTCAACGTCGGCAATCGTCGTCGTGTGGCCGCTGGCAAGTCTCCCTCTGTCGCGGGACGCCGTCCTAGCCACCGAGCCAGCGTCATTCACAGCGAGCTTGTCGATTCGGTCCGACGCCTGAGCGTCAGCGTCGGCACCTCCAACCAATCATCGCACAAGGACATTCGGCGCCCCGAAGGTGCTTCCGGCCTATCGAACGAAGTAGTGTCTTCGCCCCCGGAACTCGAGAACCAGCTTCCACCTCCTGCGTGTCCCACCAAAATTCTGGTCAACGGCAAGGAGGAGGACCCTTCACAAAGCACGATTGTACCCCCCTTTAATGCAGGTCTTGAGGACCAGGATGCCATACGCGAAGCATCCCCCGAGCCCATCGATCAGTCCGCCAACTTCTTTGACCCTCAGAACCAACTCGCCGTGAAACTGAGAGAACAGGTGGCTTTGGACACCCTGGACGAGCTGCTGGAGTACATTCTTGAACAGGGAGGTAGTGTGGGCATTCTCGATGCCACGAACAGCACCATGGAGCGTCGGAAGACAATCGTTGATCATATTCGCAAGCGTGCCGGCACGGAATTGAATATCCTCTTCCTCGAAAGCAGCTGTGTGGATCAAGAGCTCCTCGAAGCCAACATGCGCCTGAAACTTTCCGGTCCGGATTACAAGGACCAAGACCCTGTCAAGGCGCTGGCCGATTTCAAGCAGCGCGTGGCTCTGTATGAGAAGTCGTATGTTCCTCTGGGCGAGTACGAAGAGAAGAACAATATGGCCTTCATTCAGATGATTGACGTCGGACGCAAAATTGTGGCTCATCAGACGCATGGCTTCCTTTCCTCGCAGGTTGTGTACTATCTGCTCAATTTCAACCTTTCACCTCGCCAGATCTGGATCACGAGACACGGTGAGAGTAAGGATAACCAGCTGGGTCGCATTGGCGGTGACTCGGAGCTTAGCGAGAACGGCCATCGATATGCCAAGGCGTTGACTCGATTCATCGACCACCAGCGGCGTCAATGGGAGCTTATTCAGAGACAGAAGGAGATGCTACGACACCTACCACCCCGCGCTGGCGACAGCACTCCTCCCAATCCCTCCTACATCCCCTGTGACCGCGCCCGTAACTATTGCGTCTGGTCCTCAATGATGCAGCGCTCGATTCAAACAGTCGATTACTTTAATGAAGATGATTATGACGTGAAGCAGATGAAAATGCTTGATGAGCTTTACGCTGGCGAGATGGAGGGTATGACCTACGATGAGATTCGTGAGAAGTTCCCTGAGGAATACCAGGCTCGTCGCAAGAACAAACTCTTTTACCGCTACCCCGGGCCTGGCGGTGAAGGTTATCTGGACGTGATCAACCGCCTTCGCGCTGTGATCATCGAGATGGAGCGGACGACGGATCACATTTTGCTTGTCACCCACCGATCTGTGGCGCGCGTTCTTTTGGCCTACTTCCGTGGCTTGAAACGTGATGAAGTTGCCTCTCTGGATGTACCCCTCGGCATGCTCTACATGTTGGAACCCAAGCCCTATGGGGTGGAGTTCAAGGCTTACCGTTACAACGCGACCACGGACTGGTTCGATTACATCCCGGACTTCAAATTACAGCAGTCTAGCGTCTACTAGATGTGACATGCATTTCCATATGCCCTTTTTTTCTCCCAATTTCTGCCCTCTGTCCGTCAGGTTCCGGATGCCCGCCATGACCCACCAACGCCGGCTACACCGTTGACCGGCTTGAATGACTGTCATGATAATATCTTCTGGGCTCGGTTCCCGTCTCTTTTTCTGTGCCCTGGTGTTGCGGTGTTCATCTTATCACAGTCCCTAGGCTGACGCATCTTACTCCCCACTTCTCTGACCATGTATTATGCTCCGATTCGTTTGCGGGAGGGCATCTTTGCTATCGCTCTGCTCTGGGATGGATCCTTTTCGACTTCTTCTCTTTTTCCTGTAGTAGCTCTTTGCTTGCATGATTGTGGCGTTTGAGCGGGCCTCTATCTGTTTCTACGATTAGTCGCCACAGGCGGTGCCTTAGAGGATGGCATCGCTACAGGACAGCTAATTGTGAGACTACTTTGCTTCATTTCTGACTCATAAATGAGATAGCCTCGGCTATCTCCAGCATTACTCCAGACTTGCTCAAATGAAGAATCTATCTAGTATTACCCATACCAATAAACATAACTCCAGCATACAGCCATCTCTAGTCTCCATAACTCAAGCACTCTTCACCTTGTCGAAGACCTCCAGGAAAGTCTCGGGCTCGTCCGCCCCGGGCACCGCATACTCGCCATTGATCATGAAGTAGGGGACCCCGGTGACCAACTGGCGCTGCGCAACATAGGCCTCGACGTCGACCTCCTTGCCGCCGTCCTCGGAGGCGAGGAACTTCTCGACGGCGGTCTTGTCCAAGCCCGCCCCGACCGCGGCCTCGGTCAATACGGCGGGATCGGTGATGTTCTTCTCATCCTCAAAATAGGCGCGGAACAGCTTTTCGACGACGCGGGTCTGCAATCCGCCGACCAAGCCCTTGTCCGTGGCGGTACTGCTGCTGGCTTCGGCCTTCTCCTTCTGGCCGGCCCACCACAGCAGGCGGTGCGAGTCGCGGGTGTTGCCGGTGCGGCCGCCGAAACTGAAGTCGATGTCCTCGGTCTTGCCGACCGCGGTCAGCCGCTCGATGATGGCACTGGCCCGCTGCTGGCCGAACTTCTTGCGGAAGGACTCCCGCTTGTCGAGGCCCGGGTAGCCCGGCCCCTCCGGGTGCAGGTAGAAGGCGTGCCAGCTGAGGGTGAAGGTGTCGCTTGGGTGGGAGGTTTTGTGCTGGGCAATGGCCCGGCTGAGGCGGCGGTAGCCGACGTAGCACCACTGTGATTCCTTTATTTTAGCAGCTGGGTTTGTTTGGTAATTGGGGGATGTTTTGGAGGTATATAATGACAGGGCCGTAGACAGACTTACCGGACACACCGTATCGGAGATGATCTGGATGTTGAAGTTGGTCATGATTTATTATGTTTTCTCTTGGCGAATTCAAGTGGACTGCTGAGAGCACCTCTGCGATGGATCGAAAAGTGCAAGCTACTATATAGGAGTGACAATTCGGGGAGTTTGTGGCTGGATGTCCCTCCGTCGTGGTGAGGATGAGTATAAGTTAGAAAAAAGTCTCCAGATGGATTGAGTCCGATACACAACTCCAGTATCAATCAGCAGATCTATACCACGCTAACGGTAACAATGGTCAACCTGGCCAATTGGCAACTGTGAATGACTCCGTTCTGACTCTCTCGCTCTCTTTCTATCGGGCCTTTTTCTCGGGCATTTGACACGCATTGATTGTTCTTATTTGTTGCTGGTGGGAAATAGACTGACTACTAGGCAGTTCGTTTCGTTCCGTTCGCTGGAACCGATTTGTCAGCAGATGCTCATGATTGTCTGCTCGGGGAGTTGGGCTTATAAATGCCCGATGCTGCCTGCGTCTGGGAGAGAGGAGTTAGATACAGACATATAGTCGTAAGTGTCATTGGAGTGTACAGTACTGTGACTACACTACTTCGTCAATTTACATGTGTACTCGTACTAACAATCAACAATCGGGAGAAATCTCCCCCGCCAGTGACGTCAATTGACAGATCAAAATCTGGGGCGTTTGTTTATTCTATGTTATTCTCTTTTAACAATGTCCTTGCTTTTCAATGCTTTTGCTTTTCACTATGGATATCCCCTTTGGAACATGACAGGAATAGCCTGTTCGCAGCCTTGATGCGATGGTTAATTGCTCCGTAGTAACTACTCATCAGCTGACCGCCATCTCATACATCGCCCTGTTTTTATCAGATTTCCGGGTTTCTTCTCCCCTTCCCTCCCTTCTCTTCTATTGCCATAGAATACTCTCTTAGAATTACCCCTTAGGAATACAGTCTCTTAGAATTGGAACTTTTCCCTCCGCATTCAGTCTTCATGATCACGTCTTTCCTTCTCCGCTGTCACGACACCATCTGGTCCTTTCTGCATGTCACCATCCTCAACATCCCACCCTCTCGCCTGCCCATCTTCCCCTCCCTAGCAGGCTCAGTCTGGTTCCTGACCCTTGCCAGCCTACTGCTAACATGGCTGGCTCGAGGCATGCCTCAGTACCCAGGCCAAAGCAATCCACACGTCGCGTGCGTGCTGCCTTCACTTCGTACATCGGAATAAAAGGTCATAAGACTAATCAAGCGAAACCAACAGCTTCATCTCCGACATCGCCTCCTTCGAACTCAAGCCTCTTTTCCTGATCGGGGCCTCCATGACCGCCGTCGGGTTCTGGTTCACCGTAGCTGCTGTCCATGTCATGCGCTACGAGCCTGGCTTCGCATTGATCCGCTGCCCGGACCACTTCTCCTCTAGAGGTAGTCCGCAGCACGCACCATCTCCGGATGGGGATCGACTACCGGCCTCAGTGACTCCATACAATGGCCCTATTCATGACAACAACAATGATAATCCAGATGAAACCGAGGACGACGACGTCAAAGACGACGAGTCACCCACGACCATCGCCACTCTCAAACTCATCTCCCTCGTCGCCATCTTTTCCGCCGGCATGGCCAGCACCGCCCTCATCTTCCTGGCCGTCATGGATACCTTCCGGTACCACTTCGCGCACGCGGTCCTCCTCCGCGTCTGCTTCGGGGGCTTGGCCCTGCAGTCCTTCGGCACGGCGATCGTGTACTCGAACGAGGTGCTGGGGTTTGTGGCGTTCTTGACGCATGGCGGCGTGTGGCAGCCCAGATGGGGGGAGAGGCGCAAGGTCAGGGTACGCGTCTTGTGAGTTTTTCTCCTGCTCTTCCTTGCTTTCTCCCTTCCTTTCCTCCTTCCTGCACCCATGTCTGCTCTAAATGGTGGAAAGGGTGACGTTATGGATGACGTCTTCTGGGCCTCGCTTGACAGCCAGCAGAGGCGCATAATGGCTAAACCCAGACGTTCTTGCATGGCAGTGCCTCCCTCTCCACCGCGTTGATTCTGGTGGAGCTCTTCCTCGGCATCGCTTTTATCTCACTCACCGTCCCCGAGAATGTAAGCGATTACCGGGCCGCCGGGATCCTGGAGTGGGTGATTGCGTTCCTGGGCACGGTGTATTTGTGGCTGTTTGTGGGGTTCTTTGATCGGTGCGTTTCCCCCTCCTCCTTCAAATTAGACGAGGAGTTCCATGACGGAAGGCTAACACGATAATTTGTTGCACAAAAGAGACAGCTTCGAGGGCTTGGTCCCGAGTGTGCTGTATGCGGCGGCCTCGAAGGGACGACGGCTCCCTGCCTCTCCCTCCACGCCGCCGGGGGATCGCCGCGCACCCAATGACTCGGATGCCGAGCAGGCCCCGTTGCTGTCGCGGAGGTCTACCACGAGCCGATGTATGTGATTGCCCGTTAATTATGATTGATGAGTTGCAGCTTAGCGGTAGAGTTCGATTTCATTAGTTTCCCTTTTCTAAGACGGCGTCGGAGTTCTGGTACTTGTGTCCTCAGGCGAAAACATCATTCATTTTAATAGGGCCTCTTTTCCCATGTTCCAATTCCTGGATGACTCCCAAAACAACGCTATTTTCACATTTCCAAAGACATTCTACGAATACATCAAAGGCTGACATGTCCAGACACTCGTTTGCCTCTACTTCAAACAGGAGCTTGGGATCCCTGCAAACGCGACCATATACAAGCAGTCGAGACTGGAGAGCCTCGTTACAAGGCTTGACCACCTTGATTGACCAGCTGCCACACGCTCGGCTTGTTGATGAACCCGGTAAGGTTGGCAGAAGGGGGAAGACCGGCTGGATGTTGGCGGTCACGGATCTTCTCGAGGGTGGAGTTGTACTATATGGTAGGTTAGCGGATGAACCCCTTGTCCACTCCAAGCGACCTGCGCCTACCTTGAAGGCGAAGTTCAACACCAGAGCAACCGCCAATCCAATACAAACAACAATCGGTCCAAAAGTGTTATCCAAATCCCGTCCACTCCGTTGTCGGATGAGCTTGGCCCGCTTCTCGTGCATGTACCACCCCCAGACGGCGGCAAAAATCGCAAAGGCCGTGTAGACAATTGATAACGCACGGGCGATATCATTGTGTTTCCCAGCTGCGTTGTACAGGCCCAGCGACAGCGATGACAGAAGAATGCTGATGTGGAGCCACTTGATGAAGGTACGTTGGTTGGCGAGCCAGACCTTGGTCTCGACACGGACAGGTCCAGAGTCCTTGATCCACGTGCCTGGTTCCCGAACGCCAGGAGGCAGCACGACTGAGTTTCTGGGACCACGGTTGTTCCGCGCGGCAGAGAAGGTCGGGAAGAGAGAGGCCAGGCGTTTCAGATTCATGGGATGTTCCGGCTGTTGGTCCTCGCGCTGGACTTGTTGATTTTGCGGCTCCGGGTGCTCAGGTACGCGGGCTATTTCTGGAGCAGAAGGCCGCTGCGAGGGCGGTAGCATCTGCGACGACTGTCGACGGCGAGGCGAAGAGGATATGTCGGTGAACATCTGTACGGGTGATCCCACCAAAGGCCTCACTGTCAATGAACCTTTGTTGCCGAGGAAACTTCCGACTGCAATATCGTCTTCTGCTCGCTGCGCCCGCCGCTCCTGTTCTTCGTGGAAAGCGGTTTCTGGGTCTTTTCGAATGTCATTCTCCATCTCACCGAGCCAGAACGGAAAGCTGTTGACGTAGTCCTCGAAGAGCTGCGCCACACCATGGACAAACTTCGAGAACCGTGGCGCCTCCTTTACAAGGTGGGAGACCATGAGATCCTTGATCCATTCGGCACTGTGCGCTGCAGTGCCCTTGAGTTTGATTTCCAGGAGTGCGTAAGGGAAGCGAACGATTTCGCCGGTCCGGATGCTGCTGAACGGGTACTCCATTCCCGTATCATCAATGTCTGTGCGATGCCATTGATCGGGCTCACGGCAGGGACGACCTTCATCCAGAGAGTCCTCCCTGATTAGAGCCAGATTGGTATCGAGCGAGATTCGGATCCGATCATCTCCGGGGATTTGAAACGCCGTACGGGTATAATTAGCCCGGAGCATCGGCTGCAGGTTGTATTCCTTGATGAATGACTGCAGTTCCTCGATATCCTGCTTGAAGGACTCTGCTTGTTCCGATTCACCATTGCCCATGGTCTCCATCCGCTGAAGCTTTTTGTCAAAGTGGTACTCTCCGTCCAAGAATTCCTTCACGTGTTTTTGTTTGAGCTGAATCTTTACTTCTCGGCTGCGATTGTCGTCCGACACTATCTTTTTCTCCAAAAATATGGCTGGCTTGTCCTGCAGATTTCCGGTCCATCGCAGTCGTAAAGACCCGGCTTCGGCGGCGCGAGCGACCTTTTGGTTGTAAAGGTCGAACTGTCGGTTGTCAAAGTATAGAGAGGTGATTGTAGGGTCGTCAGGGAGGATATCGAGGTCCTTGGAAGTTCCAGGATTATAGATAAGAACGGGAAGCTGCCGTAGAATGTAGGTCTTGGCCTCGAGGACGTTGTTGGGATGAATCCAGAACTTGAAGGAGGAATACATGTCTTGACCAAAGCGAGGTTCAGCTGGATCTTTGGCTTCAACCAAACCCTTGCTCAGAATTTCACGGGCAAAGGAGTACATAACAGACAGTCTGCGAACTAGAGGAGAGTAGTCCTCGGTGTTGAATGGGAGTTGCGACAAACGCACTTGCAACAAGGGCTTCACACGATACCGTGCTCCACGCTTGCGGTCATGCTTCTTAGCCGCCTTAAGGAAGCCGGTGAAGTTAATTCGACTGTATTTCTCCAGCTCGCTGACCTCTCGAGTGATGCTGTCTAGCTCCTGTAGAACGCCTGACGCAATGCGCTTCTTTTCCGCGTCGTCCAATTCTGTGGCAGCCTCATCCTGGGCTGCATCAGTCAATTCTCGCAGCTTGGATTCGCAATCAGCAGTTCGTTCCCGCAGCTGCTTCAAGGTTTCGACTTGAAAGGCATTGACTTTGTCCAGTTGGACGTTCAGGAGCTCCTGGACAAACGCTTCCTCATCTTGTTCGGTCCATGGGGCATTATCGGAATCGCTATCGTTTCCGATGACATCATGCTCCCTCAGAAGGACCTTGAGCTTATGATAATCAATATATTTCCCACTCCATGGAGGATAGATCGACTTCCGAAGGGTCTTGCCAAAGCGCATGGTCGAGCAGAATGCGGCGGAGCTTGGCAGTGGTTGGGAACGAGGACTGTGTAACGGAGGAAAAGCAAGAGGAGAAGCCGAGAGAGAGGGTTGCACAGAGACTCGGGAAGGGTAGAGGCACTTCTTATAAGGGAGGAGGGCAAATGCGGGTCGAGAAGAAGAGACCGTCAAGGAGAATCAGCTCATGACAATGGAGAAGGGAAATTTTCAGACTTAAGACGGGACAGACGTAAGGAAAGAAGGGAAGCCACTAAGAAATCGCTATCGAGTCGAGGCGGAAAATAGAGAGGGTTCTAATATAGTCTCGTTTGGTCTCTCGTTGCATCCCATCGCCATGTTGATGCACGTGCTGCCTCTCTGCCTCCCCGGAAGGGTCTAGCCCGTCCCCCGCTGTAGTGATTCAGCTGACCATTGGTCAAGTGGGTTTGGAGCTACGCCGCGGGCGTAGATACTAACTTACCTACTACTAAGTTAGTAGGTGCTAGGTATCACTTGAGTCAGTATCCGTCCGTCACTGGAATACAGTACCGTATCGTTACATATATACTGTAGTTTCTTTCGGTTTTGTAATGTATCATCTGCCACTAACAACCAACCTCCGAGGTAAATTACGGAGCACTAAGATCATTTCCACGATGTGTTCCGACCGATAACGTTAAGAAACTCTCTCTTTCTCTCTTTCTCTTTCTGAATATCTTCCAGCCAGCATCTTTTTTTTGTCGTGTGTATATACTTATACTAGACTATGCTGTGACTTTGCATCGCTTCTATTTCCTTCTAGACCGACCATCTCTTTTTCCAATGGAGTCAGCCAGTCCCCCATCGTCACAGGACTCCGTACCCTTGACGCAATCGCTTCATGACGTGTTGTCCGGCCTCCATCAACGCCCGTACCCTCATGTCCCCAACCCTCCGAATTGCAAGAAACGTGCCTCGGTTGCCCTTATCCTGCGAGTCCGACCTACATATGAACACTGGCCAGAGTCTACCTCTACCTCTTCCGGGGAGACGGACAATTCAGCGTCTGTCCAGCAACGACTAGACACATTCTTTTCCCAATCGTGGGTTCGCTATGGTCAACCAGAGGCGCTATTTATCAAGCGAGCCTCGCGCGTGGGAGACAGATGGACCGGTCATGTTGCTCTCCCGGGAGGCAAGCGAGACCCTGAAGATCCAGATGATAAAGCAGCGGCGGTTCGGGAAGCCTCAGAGGAGATTGGACTGGATCTAACCACGGAGGATTGTGTGTATATCGGCAACCTGCCCGAAAGAGTTGTAACGACGAGCCTGGGCACAATACCGTATGTACTTCGTCCGATATCGTACCTCGAGTGTGCCTGATACTGATCATGTCAATTGCAGGCTGATGGTCCTATGCCCCTACGTCTTCTTGTTAACATGCAGTGACTCACCAACATTGAAGCTACAACCCACCGAAGTGGCCTCGACCCATTGGGTGCCGCTAAAAGCGCTTTTGTCGGCTTCTTTACGCACTGTAGAGCATGTGGACATGACTCAACGCCTCGCAAACATGGGAGGCATCATGGCCCGGGTTGCGTCTCGTTCCTTGATGGGCTACATGCAGTTTCCCGCAATCCGACTGGCCCCAACTGAGAGCCTTCAAAGCAACACAACCCCCGGGCTCACCCCCAAAGATGAGCAAAGACAGTCGCTGTTCCGGCGGTTGACTTCATGGGGTAGAAGTAGTTCTGCTGACCAAGATATCGGAATAAGTCGCCCCTTGCTCCTCTGGGGATTGACGTTGGGGATTATGGCGGACTTCTTGGATCTGCTTCCTCCACACACAGCTGTCAAGCTTTGGCACTACCCCAACTTCACAGCCCCCGACTTACGACTGCTTATCAACCTGCTCACATATCGTCTGCGAAAACGCAATAGGCGCTTGGTTGAGAGCGGAGCTAGACCGAATAATACTGCGGTGGATGCTCAAACAGCGGCCGTGCCAGTAAAAGAGATCGATTGCAATGGCAGTAGCAGTCAAAACAATATTGGGATTGAAGGACTTGGTGTGGGTCAATACTATGGGCCTTGCGACAAGGGCCTGAATGGGAGCACATATGCGCTGGAAATAATGCTTCGAGGCTATTATGATCGGCTCCGACTAGCCCTTTACATTTTCGTAGCATGGAGGATAGCCCTGGGCTCCACGGCGGCCTTCTATGCATGGAAATTTCTTCGTCAGGTCCGCCGATGATGGCGATGGCGATGATGATGAAGAAGATGACCCTGCCATTATTCCGTGGACTGTATATCTATCGATTCTGAGTTGAACATACAGTAGTATAAATGACTTTCTACAGCAAACCTCATCCGCATTCCTCCAGAAGCAAGGGGGAAACAGCAGCAAAGAGTCACACTAGCAGTTGCTGTTTCTGGACGGTAGTCGCTCTCAATTACATGATCTAGTAAGACGGAACTGTATTGTTATGTATGAACAAACGTACTGTAAGTTACACGGAGACTGCCCCGGCTCGAGTACCTTAGTTTTCTCGTAGCGGTAAACAATTATTCTCGTCCGCCTTAGCTTGTCATGCTTATCGTCCCGGAAGCTCGCCGGTGTCACTCAAGCGGCTGTTGATTCTTTATCGGCACTGATTCACTCGCGTCATTGCTTCTGATCTTCCTTCAAGCTTCTAACCACTCCCCTCCCCGAACCTATTGCGCTGGCTCATTCGCCCCAAATGGCAGCAACGCAGAAGCTTTATCCTCGCGCCACGGTGAAGCGTGTCGTTAAAGCGCATTCGAATCGTAACGTGAGCAAGAACGCTGATATCTTGGTTGGTCTCCTAATCCCGCCCCCCTTATTGCGACTTCGCACAGAGTCTAACGGCTTTTCCCACGTTTTAGATCTTCCTGGATTATATGCTGTTCATGCAAGAGTAAGTCGCGTCGACTATGATCTAATTATCTCCACCACATGATTCTCAAAACATGGCGCATGTTGAGGGGGAACCAAGGCATGGCTCACAGCTGAAACCTGGATGTCTATGCAGATTGATGCGGGAATCATCGATTCAGTCGCGGAAGGTGGGAGAGAAGAACATATCGCCGAATTCAGTGCGCAAAGTGACCGAGGTATGTTTGCCTGGTGCAGCGATGCAAGTATGCATGATTCCCGTCGAGGCTGACATCTGGTCTGTTAAACCTACAGAAAACGCTACGGAAGTTCAAGGGCTAGATTGATGGCAGAGCAAAGCTGCCTTGGAATACAAAATCGCACCATTGCCAGCGCGCGACCGGAGCATATCTCTGATCAGCTCTGTGGGATTTGTGCTACATGGGTGGTTGTTGAGCTTGGCCTAGATTCACGATCCACTCTCTTGGGACCGTGACTGCTCGTCCATGCCTCTAGTGAATTTTTTTATTATGGAGAGAGGAATGGGCTCACAAAGTCCAGGCGATTCGGGGTTATATAGGCGTTATTCAGGAGTCACTCGGTTGATACCCAATGCATGGATTGTTCTACATCAGGAAGACCTCTGTATAAGACAAAACTGCAATAGATCTGAAATGATATCTCACAGGTAGAGTACGCGCCTCCATCGTGTAAGATTCTTCGCATATGCAGCGTAGTGTGCCAGCTGTTGCAATGGTTTTTTGGGTCGCAAGACGTGTTGGGGCTGAACCAGTGACTGGAGCTGCAGCAGCACGCGACGAGGGCGGTTCGGAAGAGTTCCACCCGCATCTGCCAGCTGCTTTTCCCAATTCAATCCCCATCCCCATCATCTCAGTCTTCCCTTTCTGCTTCAACTGTTTCCGCCTTCTTCTCACTTCCACCTCAACAAATCCCTCCTCCTGTCCTCAATTGTGCGCATGTATCTTTGCGCTACTGTACAAGACTTTCCCCCTGTTTTTACTACTCTTCGCATAGCTTTTATTCTACATCGTCTGCTTAGGCGCTAGACCACTTCCTCCGAGTCATCACCACACCAAACCAGCAACATGGCTGCCGCTTCTGTCAACTCCAGCCCTGCTCAACACTCCAAAACTTCTTCCAAGAAAGCAAAGTCGAATCATGCTTCTAGCCCTTCTATTGTCTCGAAGCCTGACACGAACGGCTTGGACAATCTAGACAACCAACACTTCAAGGAATTGCAGAGGTGCGTCTTCAGCGACAAACACTCCGCGCATTCGCAATGCCGTATCATGGAGCTCTGGAGTCAAATCACTTACTAGATTCGCTGCAACAGAAGCTTGCGCAATGCTGTCAAGAAGCTGGTTAGTGCCCTTGCGTAGAGCTTTCACCCCCACTCACCGCTTACACTGGCCTCGTCCTACAGAATGCGACCGCCAAAGTCGACACCATCATTGCAGAGAACCCCGGCAAATCCTTGGATGAGCTTGTTGTTGAGAAGAAGATCAATGCCGACCAGAAGGCACAGGCCCTGAAGAAGCCCTCTCTACAAGCCACCGTTGCCCAGATTGAGGAGCAGATTTCCCACCTCAAGGAAATCGCTGCCTATTACGAGGAACGCTTGGCTACCCAAAAGGCGGAGCTAGAGCAAGCTCACGAGGAGCAGCTCGCAGCTCTGCGGGAGCAGGCTGATGCGGATGCCGCTGAAGCCAGCAAGAAGGATTTCAGCCAACAGCTATTAAACCTCAGCAAGTTCCTCTGCGCCGCGGCTACTATGAGACGTTCCGGAGACGAATCTTCGAACGAGAGCCGTGCATTCGAAGGCGTTCTATACCAGATTTACGGAGGAACTCAGGATGCTGTGTCTTCGATGCTCAAGATCATCGAGGGCGCGGATGACAAGGTCGTCGGTGTTGACGGCACCGCGCTGGAGATCACCTGTGAGTACTGATGCTTTTGTGTCTCAAGTAATCGCTGCTAATTGCCTCGGGTCATAAGATGGTAAGGTGAAGCAGATCGCTACTGAGCTTGCTCCTGCTTCCGAACCTGCAACTACCGAGGCGGCTCCTGAGTCGGACCCTACTGTGGCCAATGCAGGCTACACTGAGTTGCAAGACTCATCCTACGACTCCAGTGCTGCCGCTGCGACTGAGCCTGCCGCGGAAGAGCAAACCGAACAGGTTGCCCCTCCTGCTCAGACTCTGACTATCGACGGCGCCAATCAAGTGGCTGAGGCTAGCTGGGATGCCAATGCGACTGAAGCTGTGGAAACTTCGCCTACCGCTGAAGAATGGGTCGAGGTGCCACGGGACCCTGCTGAAACCGAGACTGGACTTGAAGCTACTCCTGCCGCTGCTGAGGCCGAGGTGAAAGCCGACACAGCTGTGACTGAGACTACTGCGCCCAGCACCGAGGATGTTACTGTTCCTAAGCCCCAGGACGGCTTCGAAGCCGTCTCGCACCATCAGCGCCAGCCTAGCCGTGGTAGAGGCCGGGGTGGCCGGGGCCGTGGGTTCCGGGGCCGTGGCGGTCGTGGCGGTCGTGGAGGTCGCGGACGCGGTGGTGCCAATGGCTCCTCCGCGGCCCCTGCTCCCGGCCAGTAGAAGCCGCTTATAGGGAGTTGATAAGCTGCTGTCTGATTAAAGCAACGTGCATCTCCGCGAGAGGCATTTGCTTTCCGTCGATTTGACTCCGACGCCAGCATCAATCTGCCTGGCCCTTCATCGAGCCTCTCTGACCTCGCTTTCTCAAGTCTTCTCTTGTCTCAGCCCGGTGTCCTTTTCTCTAATCTCTCTGAAATACTAATAAACTCAATGGGTAACGGGAGTGTCATGGTTCACGAACGCAATGACTCTTGAAATGATTTACAACAAGGTTTCTTTAGAGTGAAGATAATAGCAGGGTGTCCTACTCCGCCGTTCTCTTCATTCTGCTTTTCTTTTGGATCTTTTCCCCAAAAGTTCCTGTTGTATATGTTTGCAGTTATTGAGCGTGCATATTGATTTCTGCAATTTTCTCCCCTTTGATATTTCTTCTATCTCGGCTGTGCATTCCGCTCCGATGTGGCCTTTTCTTTCTGCAGGTGGCGATGGTGCTTTTTGCACTGCCCCTGCATTCTACTTCACATGTATTCTATTTCCGATCATCATATTGACATATGGAGATGGAGGTTTGGACGGGTTGCGGTGGAGAGGGGTGAGAATTATCTTGGCTGTTGACAGCCAAGGGCGGGGCATGATCAGAAGCTTTCAACGACGTGACAGGTAGATGATGAAAGCAGATGTTTTCCTCTCCGGAAGTTCTAGGTTCATTTTACGTGTAGAGAAAGAAAGCAAGATGATAAGAAGTGTAAGAGCTCCGACGGAGCTGTCTGAAAGAGGCAATACCGCGGGTAGGGCATAGGGCTATGACATAACGGGGGGAGAGGCCATCTTGACTCTCCTTCCATCTACTTTCGCATCAGACAACCCTTCGACTGTCCAGTCACCTGCACTCTTTTCTTTCTCTTCCGTTCTTTTTCTTCTAGTGTTGCTATTCGAACTACTTGTTCTCTTATTCTCTTATTTGTCTTTTCTGTCCGATAACTTTCTCAATTGACCGTCATGGCATTACCCGCAGAGCAGCGGAAGAAGATCCTCAAGGTCTTGATGACCTCGCTACTCTTGGATTTGGTATGCGCCCCAGTTCACCGGCTAAAGCAAGACAAACACTGATACTCCTACACTAGATATCCTTTACTTTCATTCTACCACTCTTCCCTTCCCTACTTACTTTCTACCGCAATCAAGATCCGTCTCCCAACTCGCTCCTCAACCGCTTGTTCCACTATCTGAACGCCTATAAGAACTCATTTGCGAAACCCATCGATTCACGCTATGACATAGTTCTTCTGGGAGGCGCACTTGGCTCGCTTTTTTCTTTCTTGCAGGCACTTGCAGCGCCATTCATTGGCCGCCTGTCAGATAAACACGGCCGCAAGACCGCTCTCCTCTGCTCTATGGTCGGTAACACCCTGAGCGTAGCTCTTTGGGTTACCGCGACAGACTTCCGAACTTTCCTCGCTAGTCGAATTGTCGGTGGCCTCAGTGAGGGCAACGTGCAGCTCGCAAATGCTATTGCCACTGATATCAGCGACCCCGGCCAGCGTGGCTCAACCATGGCCCTTGTTGGCGTCTGTTTCAGTATCGCCTTTACTTTCGGGCCCGCGCTCGGCGCAGCCCTCTCCAACATCACCACCGTTGCCGCCAATCCCTTTGCGACGGCCGCGGGCGTTTCGCTTCTCTTGATCGTCGTTGAAACCGCCTATCTGTACTTCTGTCTCCCAGAGACCCATCCTCGTTTTACCAAGCTGGTTCATGCCCTCAACACGAACAACACCAAGAACAACAACAAAAACAATAACGAAGCCCAACCATTCACCACGCCAGCCCATTCCGCGGAGCCTCAGGAACACACAAACAACCCCGCGCTCCTCAATCTGATCCATTTGCTATTCCTCCTCCCTTTCTCGGGCCTCGAATTTTCCCTCCCCTTCCTGACTGCCACTTTCTACGCGGGAAATAAATCCAGCCCCTCCGCCCTCAACGGCCGTCTGCTCTCCATGATGGGTCTGATTGCCTCCCTCCTCCAGGGCACCGTGGTGCGCCGCCTGCCCCCGCTCAAAACCGTGCGCATCGGCGTCGTCGCATGCACGATCTCTTTCTTTATGCTTGCGCGCGTCTCCTCGCTGGGAGGCCTCTACGCTGCGGGCGGGCTATTAGCTATTACCAGTGCGACGGTCGTCACCGGGCTAAACAGCTTGGGGAGCTTCGAGGCCCAAGAGGAGAATCGTGGTGCCGTGTTAGGGAAGTTGCGGAGTTGGGGACAGGTTGGACGCGCGGCTGGACCGCTGTTGTTCTGTTCCTTGTTCTGGTGGATGGGCCGGGAGGTGGCCTACACGGTTGGCGGATGTGCCATGTTGGTGGTCTGTGGAGGGGTGTTTGTTTTGCTGAGGGAGCCGGTCGTTGGTGGACAGAAGGAGTCCAAGAAGAAGAATTAGATCCCATACCTGTTTTCTTTTGAACTGCGACGCTGCGTCAGGCTCTATGGTCGGAGACGATTCGTCACTCCATGCATTATTCGTGGGTTCCTGCACAGCTGCTGTCGTCATGTCTGATGTGAGGTTGGATAGATTTATATGGACATATTGCATCATCACTGGCTGGCCCAGTGCTTCCAACTCGGCTGGATAGCGCCGAGTTGCTTGCTGATACACCAAACTTGAGTCATTATTCATTACCTATGTGGCATAATTTACATGTTCGAAGACTTGTACAGTAAAATGGGAGATGAGAGAGGTCAAACATCGAACCCGGATAAGCTCAGACAACAGCCGTCCAGATATCCATCAGGTCCCGCGCGGTGGGGGGAGGCTTTCTTCTTTACGAAGAAGATAGAAAGAAGCGCACCCGGCTAACTCCCTTTTCCGCGAACGTCACGAGAGTCAATCCTCCTGAAATAAACGCGCCGGAGCAAATGCCAAGCCACAACAGCAGCAAACGTTACATTCAGCTTCAATAGACAATCAGGCATGACCGCCTAACTGATACCGCTTCTCACGCCCATGGAAGCCCCTCGCGCGCGTGAAGAAGCTGTCCCTCGGAGTCGAGTGGTAGCCCTGGAAAGCCAGGCCCGGCTCCGCCGGCGAGGGGTCCAGCGACTCCCTGGCCTTCCCAATCAACCAGTCGGCCAACGTGACGAATTTCGGGGTCCGTTCCCACCCACATGCATCATCGGCGTGTTCGATCGTATGCGACGCAATGCGACCCTCTTCGTCGAACGAGAAGATGAACAGCCCCGTGAACTGTTCCTCCTTGGAGAGTTTGAAGATCGGCGCATCCCCGCCCAGCAGCACGCTGAGGCCCTTGTTGGTTCCGGTTTGCGAAGGGCCGGTCCCCGAGGCCGGCGACGAGGAAGCGGAGGCGGCGGTGGTGGTGGGACGCGGGTTGGAGGTGAAGGAGGGTTGCTGTCGCTGCCCGTGATGATGATTTTCGCTGCGCGGTTCGGTCCGCCACCGCACGACTAGGCGCTCGTCGCTGTCGTCTGGTTGTTCCCCGCTGGCATAGCGGGCCGGGTCCAGCACCGTGCCGGCGCGGACGATGCGCTCGCTGATGATCTTGAGTTTGACGTTGCCGAGGAGGGGCAGGCTGCTCCAGGCAACGGGCACAGTCCACAGTGCGGCTCGGTAGAGGGTTCGCCCTTTAACAGTAGGGAGATGAGGGTGCGTCGACGGAAAGAGGTGCAAGGTTATGCTCGGGGAGAGTATCTTAGGTGGCAGAGGATTGGTGAGGATGTTTGGGAGGAGAGGTGAGAGGATTCGAAGCGCTGGTCGGACGGTCTTGAGTCAGCACGTTTTTCTTTTCTGGTATTCCAGTACTAGACCTCTTCACGAAGCTTACTTTTTCCGAGCTTGAGGATGCGCTCGTCCGGCTGTTCATGATCCCCCCGCGGCCGCTCGAGTCCGTCGAAAGCGGACGGTTGGAATCCAGTTTGCGAGAATTGGGGTTGCGACGCCTGCGCCAACGAGGGTCCACGAAGAACCTCATGCTGAGCTGAGAGCCGTGGAGTCGAAGAAAGATAGAACTGATGTGGAGAAAAAACACGAGGACTAGGAATGGAGCTCGAACAATTGATGGGATGTGTTCCTCGTCGGCTTCGCACGCAAGGAAGCGCACGGCCAGTAAGCGTCGGCATCACGGAGTCGTAGAAGAGGTGGACGGGACTCTCATCCAGGAAGCCTCTGTCGGAAGATCATCACATGCATTGCCAAGCAAAGTCAAGTCATAGAGGGTCAGATAGATATGATCAAGATGGTTAAGTTGGCTGGCAACATGGAAAGGTGAAGAAAGAGTCCCGTCGAAGATGGAGATGATTCGGCCGGAAATAGCTGTGATTGGTGCTTCGGCTATGACGTCGGCCCGTCAATCGATCAGGAATGTGGCCTGAGGCCACAAGGCATGAAGGCAGGAAGGTATGAAGGCCAAAATATGTGCGCATGCATTGGTGGTATCTATCATAATGATTATAGTGTGGTCATACCCTTGAAACAGGACATGTTTCCCTTTACGTTCTCTCGTCATCCTCCCCAAGATATCGCCTTTCGGCCAGTTCTCGGATCTTGTCTTGCAGGACGCCTCGGCCATACCGTTCAGCCACCTTGACGGCCGCCTCCACCATCTTGCCGTTGCGATCCCTCATCATCTGTACCAGTTCCAACGCCTTCATGCCTCGCTCCTCGCCCTCTCGGCACTCCACTGCTAGAAGTTGCAGCAGTATCTTATCCACCTCAACTTCCTTCCGAGCCAGCTCAGCGCGCTGACTTGCCGTGGCGTTAGTGGTAGACACCAGGTCTTCAAAGAGTGACAGCAAGATGTTTCCTCGGACAAAAGCTTCTTCAAACCGAGCTCCATCATGTCGAATCGAGCCACTGTCCTCGTCGTCTTCGGCTCCCTTGCCCGGTGTGTCGGAAATCGGGATGCGGAAGTCGAATTCGCTCAACAGCGGCCGCGGGAAGTACGGATACTTATCACCTCCCTTGAGAATGATGCAGTGGAACTTGTCCTGAGCCACAGCAACGGGCCAGTAGGTCTCCTCTTTCCGTCCGCTGGCTAATCGCTCTAGCTGCTTCGTGTCTAGCAGCGGTACCCACCGAGCCTGGCCATTGTTGCGCCAATGCTGCAGGACAAGCAACACGCCTTCGGAGTCATAAATGCATGGGTCCTGTAGCTCCAAGTCAGTATGTAAGTCCGGCATGGCAGGCTGGAGCAACCAACCCCATTATCAGAAAAGAAGACACTTTGCAACTCGGTATCTTCGGGCAGGGCGACAACGTCCTCATTTTGACAAATCTCGTCCCGCTTGACGTTCTCTACCGAGTATCGTAGTGTTGCTGTTCGGCCATCGCTGTTCAGTGGACCGTTGCCCACAGTCATGATATAGTCTCGCCATGCAGCACAAGTGACGGCAGGGCTCTTCTGCCGGTAAACTTTGAACGGGGTGCCGAATAATGTGTAGACACGAACGTAGTCTTTGGTCGTTACAGCAACAATGTAGGATTCACTGAGCGCCAGCGCTGTCGAGGCGAGTTAGCAAAGCCTGCAAGCCAGATTCTCGAGTTCCTTACCCCGGATGAATTCGCCCTTTGGAAGCTGCGTCCGCCAATCGGCCCGGGTTGTCCATGTTTCGTGAGGACGATAGAAGATCGTCGCTGGACTGCCATCCGTGGGGTTATTGGAGAACAAAGTTCCATTGTCATCTAGGCCTTGTTAGTCCAGGGCTCGACCCATGTGTGTTTGCTCTCAACCTACTCAGACAAGCCCGATCGTAAAGGTATGGATCCGTGAAGTGGAAATCACGGTGAAGCTCGCGGTCGTAAAATTCCACTGTGATGGTGTTATGGGTTTCCTGGTCAACCGTCCAGACACAACCGGTCAGGTTCAAACCTTCAACAGTTAGCGTTCGATCACAAGGGGTATTCTATGATCAAATCCAAAGCACATACAGAGGTAGCGTCTGTTGCCACGCCAGGGTGTGCTTCCTGGTTGGAGAGGAGGGTGAATCTTCGGCTTGGCAAAGGCCGTCAAGACTCGCTTGTCGGTATGGCCATCGATCTCATCCGTGTGTGAGCCAACTCGCTTGCCGAACCCATTGATGTCCTCCGCGTAGCCAGCCCCGTCATCATCCTCGACGAAATCATCCATGCCGACATCGCCATTGAGGATCTCATCGAGAGAGTCAAGGCTCCCGGCTCTTTGCCTCCGTTCGATGGTCTCCTTCGGGCGGTTCGCCAATGGCCGTCTTACATTGTCAGAGATTTCTGTCAAGGCCCCGGGGAAGATAGGTGCGGCCTGTAGTGGCTTCTCAAGCAGTGGCTGATGCTCCTTGGAAACGAAATCATCGTAGATAAACAATTCTCCGTCAGACGTTGTGAATGAGACCGAGTTTTTCGTTGGATGCCAGGCAAGGTTTATCACGTTCGCAAAATCGTAGCGTTGTAATATCTTCTGCGTCCTTGTCTCCCATAGCAGGATCTGACCATCCGCGCCAGCAGTCGCAAGAAGCGCTCCATTAGGTGACCAAGCGAGCGCCGTAATCTGTCCATTATGACCGCCAGCAAACACCTTCTCCTTCTTCCATTCGCCCGTGGAAAAGATCGCAATATCCCGGGTCGCTTCGGCGGAAGCAAACGCCGTTCCGTCAGGATGCCAGACAATCCGGGATGTGGCCTCAACCTCCGGCTCAAGTCGCCTAATCACCCCGTCCAGCTTCTGCACCAATTCAGGTTCGTCCGAAAGTGTTGAGTAGATGTAAAGGATACCATCCGTACAGGAGACCGTAACGTATCGGCCACTCGGGTCGAAAGTGACGTGCTTGGCGCCTTTCGACTGTTCCCGTAGATACTTGACTTGAGTCATGTCCTCAATATTGACGATCTTCACTGTAAGCTCACTAAGAGGCAAAAATGTTAGCCAGCCCACTATACCACGCATTTAGGGAGTACAGATCTGACTTACTCGCTCGCTACCGCGGCCCACTCGCCATCCCTTGAGATTGCGATATCCCGTACTGGAAGCATGCATCGTACCAATAGCTTCACCATCTTGCCTGACTGAATCTCGTATTGCCAAACCGTGCCGTCTTCTGCGCCCATAATGAAAGATTCATTCTGCACTTGATTAGTCTTCGACCAGGCAATTCGAAGAGGGAAGCATACAGTAGCACCGATACCCAGATGCCCGTCGACACCCTCGTCCACCGTCTTCGGCTCGCCATCTTGTCCCACGGTGTAGATACGAATTGCGGAGTTCGAACCGCCAGTAATCACACGCCGGCCATCAGGCGTATATGCGAGTACTGTAGTGCCCGGGGTATCTGCATTGTTTGATGCGCGTCAGCCTTCAATTCAGGTAGACAAGAGCGACAAGTGAGGTGTGGTGATCAGTTGCGAGACTCACGGGCGGGTCTGCCCCTAGGGCGCATTGCTTCAGAGGACATGATGATGTGGCCCCGGGCTTTGTCTTTGGCAGAGTCGTCGGATACCCGAGAAAAGGAAATGTAGAATTATAGAGAGCCAAGCCAGTATAGCTCCTTTCAAGGTACTGAGCTCAATCAGTTGTCGTTTGCAGCCTGTGATCGCGTATGTCCATGCAGCCGCGGCGAAACCACGGAGTACCCGGGGACGTGCTTTCGGGGCACGCGTTCGACGCGTCTATCGTCCCAAGTACTTTTGCCTTATCTGTCCCATGATAAGGGCTTAGGGCACGCTTTCAGGGCTACCCCTCTGGATCATTTATCATTCAATTCGACAAGCCATTCATACATCGTAGCTCGTCTAGTATTGACTATACGAAAACCATGGTCCTCCACAAAGTCATCGGATTTGAGACCCAGCGACCGCAAAGAACTCGGAGCCTTCGCGGACCGAGACTTTCTGACACTGGTTCACCGGCCTGTTTTTCTACTTGAATGCCCGCTTGCAGCTCCTCCAGGAAAGAATCTCGATCTTATTGCTACGATGTTGCAAGCAGTCCCAACGGGTTAAGGTCGGTAGCATATCATGAATAACTTCTCGAATTTTGGTATATACAAACAACCATAAATCAAACACCGTGTATATGCAAGGACAAATGTGAACTCAGTCCCTTTTGATTAGATGCGTTGCCGCATTCGTACCCTGATATCAGTCTTCGGCAAGAAAGCTGCAGCGGATGGTCTATGCTCTGGTATGGCAAAATCGTTGCCCTGGGCGGGTTCAACGTCCCACAAGGCGATGATCGCGGCAGAAAAAGCCAGAAGTTTTCGTTCTGCAAAAGCGCGACCTTTACACCCCGACACACCCCCGCCAAACGGTTTGATGACGTCCATACTTGCTTTCTTCTCGCCAGTGTCTGGGTCAGTCGTGACAAATCTCAGTGGATCAAACTGGCTAGGATTAGAGAAATATCGGTGGTCATTGTGGATGACGGCGTGAGGGATGACTATGGCATCACCCTTCTTGAATTTGTACGAACGAGGCTGCGATAAACCATCCAGAGCTGCATCTTCTTCGGATTCAGTCACAGTGAAGTCTGATGTGACATTCCGAAATGATAAAGATGCAGAGTCCAGGCGCAAAGTCTCATAAAAGCTAGCCTTCAGGAGAAGGCATGATTTGATGAGGCCTTCTGTATCGATAGACATGCGAGGAGGCTCGTCGAATGGAAGACCAGTTTCTTCCCTGCTCGGTCGGGTAATCTTGACGAATGGAGAGATTTCTTGACGAATCTCACCCAGGAGAGCACTGTCGGCATATATGCGAAGGAGATGCCAGAAGACCACGTTGGGAGAGTTTGAGTTCATGGCCCAGAGCAGAGACAGATGTGCAGGAGCGCTTGATCTGGCAGAAAGCCCTAGGCTTTTGCACTTCCGTATCCGTTCCCTTAGAGGCTCTGAGATATCATCCAGGTCTCTGAAATCGGCGCCAGGATCCAGGCCATCGTCCCACGCCAAGAATGCTTTATGAAATTCCGTCAGAACTTCCAACAGCCGGTCACGGGCAGTATGCGCTGCAGATATGCCGGGATGTGATAGCCGAGGAAGGCCCGTGGCTACGGCAAGAAAATGGTTGTCAAGGGTGAAGACGTCAGGAAGCAAGGTTGGGTTGGCTTCCAAAATGCTCTCTCCTGTGAAAATAGCCGTTGTGATATGGCCAACAAAATGACGAATCAGGGCGAAGAAGTTGACCTCGCAGACCAGAATGTCATCCTGTCCAACCACCAGTGCCTGACTGCCGCGTTCCCATTGCATCTGATCGACTATGCTCCGGCAATTCGTGACCAAATCAGGGGTCCGGCGTTCAATCAAGCGGGTAGCAGTCCGTGTACCTTCCGTGAGGAAGGGTTCACGCATGAGCAGATTTGGCACACTGTGACTGAGCGCATGGTGGTCTGCAGGGCTCAGACTACGGAGCGCACCACGGTCACCGAAGACTGTCCGTAGGGCATAGTTCATTAAATCGGCCGAGGAGATGCCTCGTGCTGTAAACACAGCTTTGACTAATGAAGGGGCGACAATAGTGATGTGATTCGTGCCGCCCATATAGATGCCGAAGACAGGCTCGTTCATAAACTCCCTGAAAATGGGATGTTAGTTAAGATTAAAGGTCTCCGGCAAAGGTGGTGCACAGGAGAACAAACCTGGCATTCCCAATCAGCTTCACATGGTCCCGGGCGAAGGATATACCATGGCCTATCCAAGGGAGCCAGTAAGGCACCATCCGAGCCGAGCGTGTCGGTCCCGCCTCGGTTCCACTACCGAGGCGACTTTGCAGTCCGCTGATGAGGCGAGTCGCCACGCAAACGGACACCAGGAGAGCCACCCACGTAGGCCACCCCACGCTATTGAAGCCATCGCGTGCCAGGCGAATAAGCCCCCCGGAGGCTAATTCATATCCTTCCATTTCCCAAGCACAAGGGCGGATGCCCCTCAAGAAAAGTGCTGGTGCAGTTAGGGGTTGAATAGATCGACCGTCCACACGATGGTCATACAATGCGCAAAACCAGAAGAATAGCTTAACCTCTCAAAACAATATCAGATCTCATATGAAGAATAAACGAAGAGGGAACCTTGCAACCTGGCGCTGTTTCAGAGCGCGGAGATTTATGCAAAGAAGTAGTAGGTTGACTCGCAGATGCAGTTGGGCTACAATACGGTAAAATTACCGTTGCTTATCTCAGCAGAACTCCCCTTCCTGCCTTGTTTTCGGGGCGATAACACATCTGCTACCTAGTATTTTCCAAGGCTCAATCAACAACTGGTTGACTCGACGGCTAAAAGCTGATCCATCAAATCCGAATCGGAGCTCGACTTGGTCTGAGGCAGTTCAGATTCAGTCTCAACAAGGATGCATCTTCCTGCGATCTTTTCACTGTGCGATAGGTCTTCTACGGAGGCTTGCGGCCGAAAGTAGACTTGACAGATCATTCCCTGTTCATTAACATTCGAAATTATGTACACTACATATCAATGCAATCATAACGCAGGCCGACTTTCCACTACCTGTTCAATGTTCCCGCCGCAGAATCTTCTGCAAGGTTGCGCTCTCTGTCTCATACCTGCTTACCTTGTTTTGTGAGCTATAAACCTTACCTAGGAGCCACTTGATCCGGCTGGCGAGCTCCCAAGGTTGCTTGGGCAGCGTTCCTAGAAGTTGCAACTCCTCCTCGTACTTGCTTATACTTTTGTTCTCGACACTAATGAGCTGTTTGAGTATTTCGAGATCTAGGCGGCTGCTCAAGGTCTTGTTCTCGGTGAGACGCTTGAAAACGGCCCGGTACACAGGCTTGCCAGGCTTGACCACATCGGGGCAACCATTGACTGAGTTGATAGAAATCAACTCCGCCTGCTCAAGAGCACGCAAGGATGCTTCACCGTTGTCCTTGAAGAGGTCGGATAGCAGGATCTGGTTGTAAGGTAGTGCCGCATCCTTAGCGTTGGCAAGTGTTTTGATTAGATGCCATGCCTGTTCCTGCGTCCACGACTTTGAGGTCGTGTCACTACCCAAGATGAACATCTTCAAAATCTCGGAGGCTGACTGCTCGATTATGCGGGTGACGGCAGCTGATTCTATGTGTTATTTGCTGGCCTTGTTCATGCATTGGCAGCCCCGGACTTACCTAAAGGGGTCTCTCCAGCTTCAATCCGTCGCGCCATGAACTCAAGGTCAGTGACCCGGCCTCCCAGTACCTGTATACAACTGTCCAAGTCTGACAGGTTACCGAGGTCGAGAGTCTGTTTCGTGCCAGTTTTTGATTCGTATTCCAAATGACTGAGCACAAACTTCCTTCCTACCTCCGGTGAACAGTCGCCCAAGGAAATGGTCCGGAACACGGAGTTGGGTAGAGCCTTGCTCAATGGCTTGGAGAAGGAGACGTCTGTGGTGAGAAAGATGACGTGCGCTATATTCCCAGTGGTCAAACCAGCGGCCCATTCGGTGAGTTTGTCATAGACTACACTGTCCTCGGAGAAATTGTGCAAGAAATTATCGATAACCACCACGGGCCTCTGCTCTGGATGAGCCTCAAGGTATTCCTCATCACTTAGATGGGCTTCTTTTTCATCGTTTTTCTTGTTCTCCAATGCAACTTTCTTGAGGGCGGTGGCGGTATTTTGCCAGATCTTGCTGAGCTGAGCATCCAAGGTCTCTGAAAACCCGGCTTTCGTGCCAATCATACCTTGAGCGGCCAGATCGATAAAGCTGCTCATGCTATTCATCCAGGAGAAGACCGGTCGGTATCCTACTTGGCTAGCAGCACGAGAAATCTTTGCCGTGTCACCTTTGGCATCCTGAATTTGCTTACAATCGATGACAACCTTGTACCTGTAGTTTTCCAGGGCGCGATCCAGAACAAGCTCTCGCTTTCCGGTGCCGCGAGGTCCGTGAATGACGATGAAAGTTTCAGCGTTCTCCATCAGCCACGACTGTAGCTGAGCGATATCACCTTGACGATCTTCCCAGATAGCCGTGAGCCGGCGCGGATCAGATCCGCGGCGGCCGAAATAAATGATATTGGCTTTGTTCACCTGGTTTCTGATCCACCGCAAGATGCTGTTTTCTTCTTTTTGCAAGGTCGCTTTGATCTTCATCTCAATGAAGAACGTTCGGATTGGGTCAAAAACAGTTACTGTGATGGCTGCGATGAGGGCGGCAATAATGGGAATTACAATCCTTGGATGGTTCAAGAGCCAGTCCTTGATCATGGACAACTTGATGTTGGCTTCATACTTAATCTTGATCCGGGTGCCGGACTTTCCACCACCTTCATGCTCCGGAATGGTGAAGCCGTGCACGCAGTTCTTAGCCATGACGGCGTTCCTCGCGCGGGAGAACACAATGAAAGCATATTTGGGCGTGACTTTGGAATCGGACGGCTGCCTTTCGATGTCTCTTAGCTTGCCGTACCGGCGAAACACACTGTACAGAGCCTCGGTGGTCGGTTCTCCTGCTGTCCCATCAGAGGAAGCAGGCAGGAATTCCACTCTCAGCCGTGGGGTGGGAATGCGGTATAGGTCCTCAATCCAGGGCCTGCCATGGACATGGGCCACGTTGACCTCCTGAAACGGGTTGAACCATGGCCTGATAGGGTGTTCTTTGAGGTGATTCCCTATCGCGGTTACGATGTCCAAGTCCTTGAGTCCATCCTTGCGGTTATACTTCACAAATGCGCCGCCTTCTCTGAAACGGGGGATAACCTCCCGAATATCGATGTCCAATATTTGAGGAAAGACGCGACGTATTATGTGTAAAGGATCAGAAGCCGCTAGGTGTGGTCTGTCGATACGCTTCAATACTTGTTCGTATGACCGACCACCGCTAAGAGGTCCTTGTAGCAGCCATTGTAACCGCGAAGGAAAGATATCTGTATAATGAGTGCATCAGCATGGAGTGGTGTTAGTTTGCGACTTGGAAATCAATGTATCATACTGTTCACGAAAATAAGCCCTTCACCGTCCTTCACTTCAATATGACCTGTTTCGACAGTGCTAATATGAGAAGAGCTACTGTTCAGTCTGGCGAGGATCCCTTTTGAGGAGGGAATGGAGAGCCCACTGGGACGCACATGGGCTCGGTAACCCCATGGCCTCACGATATGTACCGGAGCTCGCATCATCTCAGCGACGCAAGAGATGTGTAGGAGCAATGGTTTCATGGCTGGGTTCTTGGTTAATAGAGAGCATCCTATGACGTAGCTGGGGAGCTTTCATTATCTGTGAAATACAGCTTGTGACGATCGTGTTACAGGGCAGACGTGCGGCCCCCGCTCCGGTACGGTCACACTACGTCTTCGATAAATTACAGCACTATCGCCAATCAGAGTCCATCGACTCGCATTTGTCCCTTTGATTCAAATCCGAGGTTCGGCCAATTCAACTGCCTCAAACAACAACTTTTTATGATATTGGCCAGCGTCACCATGGGCTGGTTGTGGAAAACCCCTTCCAAGGAGGGCGAGTCTCAAACCCCGCCTCCTGCTTCATCTGGTCTACCTGATTCCGGTCTACCATCTGCACAGACGGCACATGCATCTACGCCGTCCTCATCAGCACAAGCGGATCAACCCCCAACATTAACTCGCGAAGAGCAAGCCGACGCCGAATGGAAGAAGTTAATCGCTAGTCTCGAGGGCGATATTAGCCAGAAATCACACGATCAACAGCGATCGACTCCCGAAACACCGTTTCTCGATACAACATCATCATCCTCTAATCCTCATTCTCCCCCGAACTCGATCGCCCCCGATTCTCTCTATCCCGATACCATGTCTTGCCGCTCGGCATTCGACTACGCCTTTTTCTGTCAGTCTTTCGGTGGCCAGTTTGTCAACGTTTACCGATACGGCGAGCTGCGGTCTTGCAGCGAGCATTGGAGTAATTTCTGGCTGTGCATGAAGACGCGCACCTGGGGTGACGAACGGCGCAAGGAGGCGATTCGGGATCATTACCGGAAGAAGGCTATCAAGTACAAGACAGGGCCCAGCAGTGAGGATGTCTGGGATGTGCGCACGGAATCTATCGGCGAGTGCTTCAATGGCGACTTCGCCGCGCTCGAGAGGGAGGTGAAGGCTGCCGAGGAGGCCGCAGCAGCGGCAGCGGCCAGCCAGAAAGCGGCCGCGGCATCCGCAACAGCAGAGGCGTCGTCAGCATCGTCATGAAAGAAACATTCTAGTCGGTGAAAGCCCTCTCTCCTCTAGCCCATTCTTCTTTGCCCGTGTAAAAATTTCCTGTCCATTTCCATGAACGTGCATGTTAGACTCGGTTGATCTTCATGTTAGTTTCGAATACGATACCTGTCCCTGGGGGATATTGTACGATAGCCATATTCAGATTAATCAAAAGGATGATAATGATTTGGCTAGACGATTGGAGGTGTTTTTCTTGGTCTCTTTGAATACTGGAGTGTAGATCAAAGAAGACCGCCATTGTTTTCGAAATCGCGGTGGTCAGGCCTGTGAATCCTCTTTGTTAATCAAACAAAACTTTGTTCCCAATGAGTTCTTGAAAGGAATATTGTTACGGGATAGACTCCCTCAAAAGGGTCAGCCTGCGCCTTTCTTTCCCCTTCGAATTTGCTGTTTCTTCCTATACATTGCACTACACTTCTCGACAACGACATCTGGACTCGCCCGTCCACAATCAAGCAGCAACATCTTAATCCCTTCACAATCTTGAATCGCAAGATGGACAAGCTGACAGAGCAACCAGACCAAAACAGAGCCAGGCGAGGTGCGTTTTCTGGACCCTCAAGTTCCGCAGCAGCAGCGGAGACAACGACACCAACACCAACATCAACTACACCAACTTCACTAACTACACCGACTACACCAACTGCCCCATCGCCATCTCACACGCAAGCACAGCCCTCCTACAGCACACTTCATTCATCGCATCATGAGGAGGGTACCGCGTACGTCCCTCAATATAGAGATGCAACCAATGGCTCTCATGACGAGGTCGAGTACCACCCTTTTACCGCCCACGACCCCCTCTACTACCACCCTCGATATCGCAGAGTCGTGACCTGGAGGCAGCCAACAGCAACCGTCATCCCCGCTCATGATTCGATTCCCCTGCCAGACCACCCTCGGGAGACTCGCGCTCCTCCTCACCCTCCCTCTCCTCCCCCCATCCCCACGGATGCTAACTTGATGCCTCCGCCTCCTTTTCCCCGCCGTCTCCGTCCCCAGCCCCCGCAGCCCCCTTCCATCCTGAAACCTCCAACCAGGACCGACAGGGAGACCCTGCAGGGCAATCTCTGGGCCATGATGAAGCTCGCCGATCGCGAGCTCACCGCATGCCATGAAATCCTGGAGGCCACGAGTCAGCAGTGCCTGCAGCATCTCTTCGAGATCGACGAAGGCTTGAAATACCTCGATGCGCTGTTCCAGGAGGACGAGCGGCAGGCGGACATGCTGCGACGGTATGGGAGGCGCCACGAGCGCTCCGCTCATTGCCTGGCGAATGGGGATGTTCATTTCTGCGCGTATCGGTACGGCTGCGGTCGTGGGCCCAGGAGCACTCGGAATGAGCGGAGGACAGCAGGTATCAGTTCACCCTATCGTGGTGGCGGTCATCATGATTGGCAGAATCGCCAGCGCGGCTTGGACCGTACCGTTGCCAGTGGACGGGTGGTAAAGATGAGGAAGAAGTCGGACAGTATGACTGGGATCGCGGCTCGAATCAAGCTTGAGTACGAGGACTTGAAGAACCGCCTTCCTCGCCGTAGACGAGCGGGAGACGAGGACGAGAATTGGGGCGGGATTGAGGGTGAGAAAACAGAGATTGAGACAGAGGAGGAGGATGCGGACGACGATGATGATGAAGATTACTATGATGAGGACGACAACGAGGATTGATCGAAGCCAAGTCTCCAAGGAATGAGATGGGTAGACTGCGAGATGGTGGATGTCATATATTTTGTCAGTGCTCGTAATGCTAGTAGACCTTGTTTGTTACCAGCTTGCACAAATTTGAACTCGAATTCAAACAGTAATTATACTGTGCCAAGTCACTCAAGATCATCAAATTGATATTGACGTGAATAGAATATGTACAGACAGCTAGAAAGTTGCACAGAATGACAAACGCTCCGACCTTACACAACATTTTGACGATGAAAAGAACGCTGCACAACTCAGGCAAACATAGAAATGAAGCAAAAGTCTTCAATCAGCCTCCTCAAAATAGTCTCTCGGAAAGATAGTAGAAAAATGTATAGTTATAGGGATACGAGCCACCCGACGTTAATTTCACTGAAGCAACCAACTTTTCTTTTAGCTTTTCCTTGATCCGTTTTGCCTTGTAATATTGACAGTCATAGATTCATTGTGATCATGAGTCTCACTTTGGGTCGTTGTGCTGCTAGATCCTACCCAGCATGATGAAAACGAGATACGTAACAAAATTTAAGCTGAGACGGTCTGTGGCGCCGACTGGGGTAGTGCATCAATAGCAGGACGGCGAACGATGCCGCCAGTAACTGGAAGCTGGGAGCTGGTGCCCATGAGAGCAGCATCAACCTCACGGGCACACTGGCGACCCTCGTTGATGCCCCAGACGATGAGAGACTGGCCACGACGGCAGTCACCGGCAGCATAAACGCCAGGGACGTTGGTGGAGTACTGACCAGGAGGGGTCTTAACATTCTTACGCGCATCTCGCTCGATCTCATCTCCTAGAAGGCGATCTTCCGGTCCAAGGAAGCCCATTGAAAGAAGAACGAGATCGGCCGGGAAGAATTGCTCACTGCCTTCAACAGTCTTCATGTCCCATCCGCCAGAAGCACCCTTGGTCCACTCCACGCGAACAGTATTGATACCCTTAACGCGACCACTGCCATCGTCAATGAATTCCTTAGACATGACACAGTACTCGCGAGGGTCCTTGCCCATGTGTGTCTTGACTTCGGAATGGCCATAGTCAACCCGGTAAATGCGAGGCCATTGGGGCCAAGGGTTGTCACGGGCACGCTCCGGCGGAGGCTGGGGCAGCAACTCGAAGTTGGTAACAGATTTGGCGCCATGACGAACAGAAGTACCAATGCAGTCATTTCCGGTGTCACCACCACCAATAACCACAACGTGCTTGTCCTTGGCGGAGATGTATGCACCATCGGCCAGGTTGGAATCGAGGAGCGACTTGGTGTTGCGGTGCAAGAATTGCATGGCGTAATGGATGCCCTCAAGCTCGCGTCCCGGGACCTTTAGATCACGAGCCACGGTGGCACCGGTAGCAATGATCACAGCGTCGTTGGTCTTACGCAGGGACTCCAAGCTGACATCGTGTTCAGGTCCAACGGGAGTGCTAGGGGCAAATTGGACGCCTTCAGCAGCCATCAGGTCAACACGACGCTGCACAACCTTCTTGTCCAGCTTCATGTTGGGAATACCATACATGAGCAGCCCACCAATACGATCAGCTCGCTCGTAGACAGTCACACTGTGCCCAGCACGATTGAGTTGATCTGCAGCAGCGAGACCGGCCGGACCAGAACCAATAATGGCAATAGTCTTACCAGTGCGAGTCTTAGGAGGACGAGGGACCATCCAGCCCATTTCGAACCCACGGTCAATGATAGCACACTCGATAGACTTGATGCCTACTGGGTCTTCGTTGATACCAAGGACACATGCACCCTCACAAGGCGCGGGGCAGACACGACCGGTGAATTCTGGGAAGTTGTTTGTCATGAGAAGACGGTTGAGCGCATCTTGCCACTGGTTCTGGAAGACCAGTTCATTCCACTTAGGGATGATATTGGAGATCGGACAACCAGTATCAGACTGACAGAATGGGACACCGCAGTCCATGCAACGAGCCGACTGGTACTTCAACTCATCCTCGCTGAGACGGGCAGAAAGCTCAGCCCAGTCACGCGTCCGAGTGGCTGGGTTTCGGTACTTTTCGCTGCGACGATTATACTTCATAAAACCTCTGGTCTTGTCGAGAATGAGAGCAGAGCGCTTCTTCTCGGTCTTCGAGTCACTGATGCTGTCTTCGATGTCGAGCATCTCAACCTTCTTCGCATCCTTTTCGGACTGAGCCTTCGATTTCTCAGCCGGAACCGGCGTACCCGGAAGCTGAGGGAGAGTGAACTCGGCCTTCTTTGCGGCCTTAGCCTTGGCACTTTCCTCCTCGAGGATGCGCTTGTAATCAATGGGCAAAACCTTGACGAAGTGGCGGAGAGCACGGGTGAAATCGAGCAAGATGCGAGCAGCCAATTCAGAACCGGTGTAGTGGTGGTGATCCTCAATCAAGCCACGAACGAAGGCGATTTCAGCGGGGTCCTCCAAACCGCTGACCTCGACCATCTCCATGTTGACCTTGGAGTGGAAATCCTGGTTCTTATCCAAGATATAGGCGATACCACCGGACATGCCAGCGGCGAAGTTACGACCGGTGGAACCAAGCACAAGCACCCGACCGCCAGTCATATACTCACATCCATGGTCACCAACACCCTCAACGACAGCGGTAGCCCCGGAATTACGAACAGCAAAACGCTCAGCAGCCATACCGCGGAAGAAGCAAGTACCCCGAGTAGCACCGTAGAGACAGGTGTTGCCGACAATTACGTTCTCCTCGGCCTTGTATGCAGCGCCACGGGGAGGGTACACAATTAGGCGACCTCCAGAAAGACCCTTACCGACATAGTCGTTGGCGTCACCTTCCAGCTCGAGGGTGATACCCGGAGCAAGGTAAGCACCAAAGGACTGACCGGCCGAGCCCTTAATGTTCGAGTGAATAGTGTCTTGCGGGAGTCCTTCCCCACCATAGCGGCGACTGACCTGATAGGACAAGGTAGCACCCAAGGCACGATCCGTGTTGACGATATCGCATTCAATACGACAGGGTAGGCCCTTCTCCAAAGCAAGCTCGGATTCGGCAATTAACTTATTATCGAGACGAGTGTGGAGGCGATGGTCCTGCTTGCGAACATTGTAGGTAGCTACTCCAGGACGGAGGGAGTGGGCCGGGGTGAGAATGAGGGAGAGATCAATCTTCTCTTGTTTGGGGGTTTTGATACCATCTCGGATCCTGAGGAGCTCCGCACGACCCACCATCTCGTTGACCGTGCGAATGCCCAACTTGGCCATGATGGCACGCATCTCGTTAGCAACATAGTAAAAGAAGTTGATCACATGCTCGGGAGTTCCCTGGAATTTAGCCCTCAGTGCTGGATCCTGGGTCGCAATTCCAACAGGACAAGTATTCAGATGACACTTGCGCATCATGATACATCCCATAGCAATCAAGGGAGTGGTGGCAAATCCGAATTCTTCTGCACCGAGCAGACAAGCGACAGCAAGATCACGACCGGTACGAATTTGACCATCGGTCTGGACAACAACACGCCCGCGCAGGTCATTCAGGACAAGGGTCTGGTGGGTTTCGGCCAGACCCAACTCCCATGGGAGACCGGCATATTTGATACCAGTCCAACGGGACGCACCAGTACCACCATCGTGACCGGAGATCAGGATATGATCAGCCTTGGCCTTCGCGACACCGGAGGCAACAATACCAACACCGACCTCAGACACGAGCTTGACGGATACTCTTGCGCGAGGGTTGGAACATTTAAGATCGTAGATGAGTTGCTTAAGATCTTCAATGGAATAGATGTCGTGGTGCGGAGGTGGCGAGATTAATCCGACACCAGGAGTAGAGTAACGAGTACGGGCGATAGGGCCCACGACCTTGTGTCCAGGAAGCTCACCACCTTCACCGGGCTTAGCTCCTTGTGCCATCTTGATCTGTAGCTCATCAGCGTCCGCGAGGTAGTGAGAAGTCACACCGAAGCGACCGGAAGCAATCTGCTTGATGGCGGAGCGCATCGTATCGCCGTTCTCGAATCTCTTGCTTCTCTCGGGATCTTCGCCTCCTTCACCAGTGTTCGACTTTCCACCAAGGCGGTTCATAGCGACTGCCAAGGTAGAATGCGATTCCATGGATATCGAACCATAAGACATGGCACCTGTAACGAACCGACGCACAATTTCTGTCCAAGGTTCGACCTGGTCAATGGGAATGGGGGTCCGCTGTTCGAAGTCGAAGTCGAGCATACCACGCAGGGTACAATTCTTGATCTGCTCATGTTCAGCCTTGGCATACGCTTCATACGACTTGTCATTCTTTGTGCGGACAGCATCTTGCATGTTCGCGATGCTGACCGGGTCATTGATGTGCTCTTCCCCGCCATCACGCCAGTGATATTCGCCAGACTCAGGAAGACCGGGAATATCGACAATCTCACGCGAAGAGTATCCACGCTCGTGGAAGGCGAAGGCATCTTGAGCAATAAGCTCGAAAGTCATACCACGAATGCGGCTCGCAGTTCCCGCGAAGCAACGGTCAATGACACTATCATCGATACCGAGAGCTTCGAAAATCTGAGCACCCTTGTAGGACTGCAAGGTGGAGATACCCATCTTGCTCATGACCTTGAGGATACCACCATCACAAGAAGCCTTGTAGTTCTCGATGACCTTCTCATCAGGGAGTTGCTTGCGAATCAGCTTTTCCCGGTTCATCTTGAGGATACACTCCATTGCAAGGTAAGGGTTGATAGCGTCGGCTCCGTACCCTACCAAAACACACATGTGATGTACCTCACGAGCCTCGGCGGTCTCGACGACGATGGCGGCGAGAGATCTCCATTTGTTACGGACCAAGTGATGATGAACAAGCCCAGTAGCCAAAAGAGCGGAGACAGGAACTCTCCCCGCCGACGTGGCTCGGTCCGAAAGCACAAGGACCTTGTCCCCGTTCTGGATTGCTTCGGTTGTGGCATCGCAGATGGCATCAAGAGCTTCAAGGTAGCCAGGGACACCCTTCTGCTTCTCGAATGTAATGTCGATGGTTTTGACTGTCCAATCCTTG